GGTATAATGCTATGCCTATGCTGTGTTGATTTTGCTAGTTTTGTGCTGGATGTGTCATTATGTATCCATAGGGCTTGGCTGATGGGCAATATAAAAATGCCATAAAATAAAGAAATACATGTATATTGATCCATTAATTCAGCAATATTACAGACACTTATAAGAGAGTATGCTCAACTGAATACAGTGGCACTTACATCAAAGTAAACATGCATGGCTTGCACTGAACAACATACTATATATCCTTCAATACTAAGGTTGTCAAATACAAGAAAAGTACTGCACACTTAGTTCATATAAGTTTCTCCTAATTGAGAATCATTTTTGCTGTGTGTATTGGTTGGGCTGCACCAGAAGAATAACAAGGAGATTATTAAGGTTCAACAGTAGTATGAACTTTCCCAATGGCCAAAAGCCGGGAGAGTGTTCTGGGGCCGTGCCAAGACCTAATGGCCTACAGCATGTTAGGAAGAGCACCAGAGATAATTGTCATGAAGCTGCTTTCCCTCACCCTTGCCCCTGCCTCCCAGGAAGGGAGGCTAGAGCCCATATGCATACCTACAAACTCTAAAATTGTGAGAGAAGGGAATTTATAAATCCACGGCAAGAGGCGTTCTCTTTTGTGCTCAGCTTGGAGAGAAGAATTGACGGGTCGCTAGCCCAGGCAGCTGTAGAGACCCATTCAGCACCTCGTGGTATCTGCAGGAAACTGATACTGCCACAAATAGGAGTATAAGCTATCTTTTGCCTGTTTGTACTCTCATCCATATTTCATCATTGTATTTTATATGATCCTTGATCCAAGTGGTTCTGTTTCATCCTGAGCATCCTCAAATCTGAAATGCCTTGGCTGTGCAAAGCCCCTAGAGACCTATCCACTGTGCTGCCCACCTTCCCTAATCATGGACATGGCCCACTTCATGGGTTTCAGATTTGCAGGGGGTAAAACTGGAGTAGTGATGACAGACACAACTGCTTCATAATGTAAGCTCTTAACTACTTCTTTCAGTAGCCAAATAGGCTTCTAAAAGTGCATCACAATGCCTTTACCATTAGTAAAAAAGTGTACCAGGAATTGATTTTTTGCATTTCACCCTTTTCCAGATTTTGCTTCTTTCCCTTAGAATTGTTCAGTGTTAGAATTAGAAGGGACCTTCTAATCTGAAGGTCACCTACACTACTTTTCCACTCAGTACAGCAGTTTTGCAACTATTGCATCCCTGTCAGATGTGGTTGTTCTGCCATGGCTGAAAAACCTCCAGCAAGGGAGAACACTGAAACTTCTGAGGCAGCTGGTTTCACTGACAGAAAGTGTTTATTGTGTGAATCTTTCTGACAATGAGCTTCCTTGTAATTTCACCCAAGTGTTTTAGTTCCTTCCAGAGCAATACAGAAAAGGCATTTTCCATCATCACATCACATGGAAACCTCCATCACATCTCCCCTTACTCTTCTCCAAGTTAAATATGCACAGCACTTTCAAACCGTTATTTATAGGTTCTGGTTTCTAGAACACTCCAGTCCTAGTTGTGGATGTGCTGTAGTTGGTCAATATTATTCTTAAAATGCACCTGGAAGTTCTCTTCCTTGTGGATAAAACAGCAGCCAAAGGGAAGGGGAGCTAAGCAGACACTGAGAAAATGTTTCACGTGCTTTTTACAAGCACAAGTTGGTTAACCCTGAGCTGGGAGGATCTTTCTACCTGGAGGATATGCCTTATACATCTCTCATAATTTCTATTCCATGCTTATTAGAGATTGCTTTTATTCCTGATTTGCTGTCACAGTTTTATTTCCATAATGTAAAATTTCTGTGACATCTGTGAAATAATCACCTATCCCATTATATGAGCTATGACTATAAGAAAGCATCCTAGAAAGACACCTGGTGCCATTGTCCATTGTTCATAATTATTGTCAAGAGCCAAGGAAAGATTTGTGTTGGGTGAAAAAGAAACTCCCATGTTTAGAAAAACCCACCTCTGGCCTTTTTGTCCCTAAGTCCTATATACGGAACAATCTAATCATGCTAAGTCATACGTACTATTGAGTACAGTGGAATAAATGTGCATGGGAATGTAGGCTAAGGATGCCAAATGATCTCAGAGTCTCCCATCCATATAAAGCCCTCCTGGCAACAAAGCAGTGGCGCAAACTACTTCACTTTGGAGTAAATGGTCCATTAGGGTATGTGGATAGAATCATCTACACCAGTAGTGTTGAATTTCAGGCCTGTAGGCCAAATCCAGCAAACCCAGGATCTAAACCACTCCTCTGGTGTTCTCCTAATGGCCAGCCCCTTCCAGTGGTCCTCTCCTCTCCCCTCACAACTGGTGGTTTGGTGGGTTCCTGCCTTTTGTGCATTTTCCCCATTTAGGTTGAACTACCGCTCCTCATGCCTAGTTACTGGCAGAAAAAGAGCCAGGGGTTTTTGAGTCCACCTGTTTTGCCCTGTACCCCTGTGTGACTGGAATGAAGCATCTGGGAGCCTCTACGAAATCGAGTTAGTCCCTTGGGCTGCAAGCAGCTTTGTACCTCTGCTCAGTGCCAGCCGGGCTCCCTAAAGATAAGTTGCCATTGATCCCACATGGAGGATGCCAGTCTGGAGAAGACGACTGGACGTGTTTACTTATGAGTAAACCCCACAAACTGCTGTGTCACTTCCTCATGATATGCCAGGGATCAGCACTGTCCAAAACACTTTGCCCGTAAGGCACTTGATGCAGTTGCCCAGACAGCTGATGTTTCCCTAAGGACTGCCAAATGGCCAGTGTGTTCTTCAGCAAAAAGCCTGTGGCCCTTGTCCAGCTGATGACTGGACAGCTGCCCATGCTGCACTCATGGGGAAAGGCCCCATCCGCATCCAAAATGAGGTCAGTGCTAGCATCTCTAACGGTGCTGGTCTCTTGCTAAGCGGGCAACAGTGGAGAGAGATGGGGAGCCTGCGACTCACCTCACCCGCTGTCAGCATGGTCCGTGTGCATTCGTAGGCAGGCTCAGGGCACAGCGGAGCCCAACAAGTGCATCCCATACCCTGCACAGGGAGTGAATCACTGCCTGCACCCCTACAACCATCCAGCCAGTCTGTGCACAGATCACTCACACTGGACTGAGGTGCTTGCACACAACCATCTGTGGACAGGAGAGCCTCCTTGAGCCTGTGCGGTGCATGCTCATCATGACCATCTCTGTGCTTGCACCCCCAAGGAGAGCCCAAAATATTCAGGCAGCCATGTTGATCCAGCTCAGCAAAGCCCTTCTAGCTCTTTCCATCTCTGCCTGAAGCAGTTTCTTTTGTAAAGCATTTCAGTTTTAGCTCCCCATCCAAGACCAGGCTAACCCAAAGGGCTTGATAGTGAAACAGGGAACAATATATTGAGTTTGGAAAATGCAGTTTCCCACAGCTCCTGTGAGAATTGCAGTTAAGCACCAAGAGAACATGGATCTCTGAGGTGGCAGCAAATAATATCAGATAGTGATACCTTATCACTATCCTGTAATAAGATAGTGCTGATACTGCATCCCTGCAAGCCCTGCCTTCACTACAGCACCACCTTTAACTCAACTTTGGCCATGACTCCTGCCTGGCAGGATTGCAGCATCCATAGCTAACACTGGGTGAGCTGTTGAATGAAAAGATGATCAACCAGAATGAACTACCAGCTAATATTGGAAACGTACTAAAGATAGGCTGTTCCTCAGACCAAGTATCCCTCACCCACTGACCTAGGCTATTAAGAAAGGCAGTAAAACAAGATGGAGTATTCATTCATTCCTTTGTCACGCTCGGTTCAGATTCTTGTTTACCATGCCAAATTATGCATGCTGCTCCATTCTGTTCTGCTCTGCTTTGCACGGCAACCAGTGACCACTTTGGGCCGCAGAGGGATTCTCAGCCAGCCATCCCTCACCAGTCCTACCCATTGCCAAGAACAGAGGGACACAAACAACCACCACCATTTGACTGTCTTGCCTGCCAGATCAAATCCTCGACCTTCTTCATCCAATGAAAATGAATGGCACAATCCCCAAGACTAAATTCCTTTTAACAACTGTGTTACTCGGACAAAGTACACGCCTCCAAGTACAGTAACTAGATCATGTTAAAGTAAATGCAGTGTGATCCTATGCATGTTTACTTGGAAATAAATTCCATCATACCCAGTGCAGACTTACTGCTTAAGTGTGTTTGAGACTGCAGCTGCCTGAATCATATAAAACTGCTTATCATGCATATCATATTTTAATTGTCAATTTTGTATTTTCTACTTACAGATCATAGGTCTTTTTAAAGCACAGAATTCCACCTGAGTGCCTTGGCTCCTATTACATCGTCTTCTTATGAATCATATTCTTCCTTGTGAGGATTCAGCCGAGCCCAGAAGCCAGCTGCCTTCCCCAGCCCAGCACCCTTTGGATGGGGTGGAGTACAACTCCCAATACTTGTACCCAGTATGACTGGGGAGAGTGGGAACTATAGTCCAACCCATGCACAGGATGCCAGAATAGAAAAGGCTGTTGTATGGATGTGCATAAATTGATCATCTTCAAAAGAGAGAAAATAGCTAAGGCAATACCTTTTTATTGGTCAAGTCTCCTTTGACCAAACTGCACCGAGTTCCTAGGGTTAGAACCTCCTCCTTTTCCTTCTTGATTCTTACTTACCTGCATCTACAAAATCAGGCTCCAGTCATTCTGCAAGGGGGGAGGGAGAAACTCTTTTCTTCTTATGCACCATGCAGAAGGCAAAGGGAAATACGTCCAAACTAGAAAATGCCAACACAAATTAATTCCATGGGTCTGCCTTCCAACCAAAGGGGTCCTCCTTTGGATAACAAGTGGAGTGATAATTATAGATTAGAAAAGAGCCAGATCAGCAGCTGCCGCTTGCGTTTGTTCCCTGTTGTAACCGGCAGCCTCCGAGAACTTGGCAAAAACAGGCTTCCAGAAGTGGAAAGACACGTTAGCCCCTGTGCTTGTCAGTCCAGTCCTGCGAGGGCTCCAGAGAGCAATTAAAGCTCTGATAGGCCCGGTGCCTAAGGTGAAGAGGGGAACAAAGTGATCTGCATGCTGCTTCACTCCGGGACCCCAGAAGACCCCCGTAACTATTCCTGTGTTTGAGTGGCCTAATCAGACTAAGAGCAGGTTAGTGTCTACTGCATGTTCATTTCTTTTATCCTGGTATCTCCCTGCGCCTGGAGTTAATCTGTACTGGATTTCTTACAATGACATTTAGAACATGTACGTTTCGTTCAAATCAGTTATGCTTTAAAAACGACAGCAAAACCTCACTGATGCATAGCTCTCATATCCAGGTCTTTCTGTGCTTAGAAATAATCGATATATGTGTCATTCCCATCCGCTGACCTTTTCATAACTTGTTACATTAGAGTATGAGCCCTGTATTTAGAATTGCCCATATGCATCAAATATATGAATATTTAATGAATGTAACTTGCCTTTTTGCATTAAAATGTAAACTTTGTAGATGCTTATGGTGGCTGCTTTTTACAAACAAGAGGGGGAGACTTGGGAGGGTGGAATGCTCTTCCTCTCACTATTCTCAGTGGTGCCATTATGGCAGGATTTGGGGGCAGAGGTCTAGCCCCCCCTCAACTTCATGAACTTGGAGGGCCCCCAAATGCAGCGGGGCAGGCTTCCCACAAATTGAAGTGAGTGAAGTGGTAAAAATTAGCATCTAAAGTGGGAGAGTTAAGACCATTAAATCCAGAGGCTCTGCTACTGTCAGTTCTCAATCACTTTTCAAAAACATTTCAGTTGGTCTGGCTGTTTGTTTTGTATGTGTGAGCTTTAGGGAAAAAGTGCTGGGTTTTCTTAACAAATGTTTTATATCACAGATGGGGTTTAATCTGTTTAATTTTAAACTTTTAACACATGTTTTTCAGAACCATTCTTTAAACCAACTTTAAGCCCTTGTGGTAGCTTGAGTTAGAAACTGAATAAGTAGTATATAAGTTTCATTTTATTTCATTTACTATATTTCTCTATTGCCTTCTGGCAGTTTACAAATATTGAAACCTTAAAATATGTGCTAAAAGGCCATACTTGTGTGAACATAGAAACATACAACGCACCAAGAAACACACATATATCTAAAAACTATTTAAACAGTCACTGAGGGAAAAAAATATCACTTGATTTACAAACCTCATCATACACTGCCAAATGCCTGAGAGCAGAAGATCTTTGCTTGGCACCAAAAAAGATAACAGGTGCCAAGTGGCCCTCATTGGGAAGTTCGTTCCATAATTGGGGGCCACCACTGAGAAGACTGTCTCGCTGGTTGCCACCTGCTGAGCTTTCCTCAGAGGATGCAACTGGAGAAGGGCTTTATATGATAAACCTAGTATATGGGCAGGTTCATAGCAGGGAAGTACTGCATCAAGTATTGCAGTCGCAAGATGTGTAAGTTTTTACACTTGAACTGGACTCAGAAACGTAATTCCCATTTTGTGATTTGAAATGTGTACTGGGACCCAAACTGTAATTGGGCTATTGATTATTTATGGCAAAATTCCACAGACTTCATAAATATCTGTGCATGAATAACTAAAAGCAAGACTAAAGTTCAGATCTTTGCTTAGTGGTTTCATTACACTTATCAATCAATATTACCAATTAAAACAAATAATTGTTTTAACTAGTTTATAGTTTATAAAACCTGTATAATTCTGGTTCCCAATTTGCTTAATCAGTGCTCTGAAGAGATTTCAAGTAGGGGATCTCCTCTTGGTTTGGGTATACCATTTTCTTCTACTGTAGATTTTACCCAGCAGATGGAAAAACCCATTCTGGGCATATGAAGACTTATTTTATTTATTTGTTTGTTTGTTTATTTAAAACTTTTATGGGCCATTCCATTACCAAAGTCTCAGGATGCTTTAATAATACAAATATATTTTTTATTTTATTTTTTTTAACACAGTAGTAGGAGTTCGGAAGGTGAACTGCTTCACTGTGTGTTGAGGCTTCGTTGCTTATTGTATGTTAAACTGTCATTCCTGTTGGTTAACTAAGGCATTCTGTCAACAGGATGCCAAACAAGAGGGGGACCTGCTGTGCACTGCAAACGTCCTCATCTCCCACATATTTCTACCTCTTGGAGCATGGAGAGCAGCTGGAGGGGGAAACATGGTTCTGCCTGTTGTAATCACAGCAGCCACCCTGCTTGTCCGAGCTGTGAATACATAATGGAAGCTACGAGCATTTCTCTTCAGGTCAATATTCTGCATAAAATGTGATTGGTTTCCTGTTGTGATTTGGCCTTCTATTTTTCCAGAGGCAGCCGGCAGAGAAGATGACAGTCACATACTCCAGTAAAGTTGCAAATGCCACCTTCTTTGGGTTCCACAGACTACTTCTCAAATGGAAAGGAAGCATCTACAAGCTGCTTTACAGAGAATTTATTCTCTTTGCAAGCCTCTACACAGCAATAAGTATATTGTACAGGTATATCATTTTCACCTTGTTGAAGCATATGTCTCTGTGGGGCTAACCAATTTTCCATGAAATAACAAGGGCCTCCAACAAAACTGTGCAATGTGGACTGTTCCTGTTCATGATGCCAGCCAGCCAGCCATGCTGTTTTCAAGGGCACTCCATTCCATTCCCCTTTCCAACTTTTCTATCCCCCAACTCACAACAGACATTCAGTGTTCTGTGATCACCAAGCATGCTCAGTCCCCATCAGGCTGTTTTGGCAATTCTTTCTCTATTGTTTCCCCTAAATCGTGTGTGTGTGTGTGTGTGTGTGTGTGTGTGTGTGTGTGTATGCGCGTGTGTGTGTGCATGGATGTGTAGATTCTTTTTTGTATGTTTTTGGGGTTCCCCCAAATCTTTTGATACCTCCCTGTTCTAGATTAGTAGTGCTTTTTTGGCTTCGTATGTATCTATACTTGGGAAACGAGTTTCCTGTTTGTATATATCAGTGATGGCAAACCTTTTAGAGACCGAGTGCCCAAACTGCAACCCAAAACCCACTTCTTTATTGAAAAGTGCCAACACTGCAATAAAACCTGAATACTGAGGTTTTAGTTTAGAAAAAACAACTCACAGCCAGTCCAAGCAAATCTCTCTCTCTCTCTCTCGCTCTCTCTCTTTCTCTCTCCTTGGCAGCGCACTGACTGGCCATGCAAAAGCTCGCACAAGTCGCAACTAATGAGTCGTGGCTCATGATGTCATTGCCTGGCGCCGCCGCTCCTTTCCCTATGTGCACTGTTATCCGATGCTCGGCTGCTGGGCGATGCTGGGGCGACTTGGCTCGCATACCAACAGAGAGGGCTCTGTGTGCCCACTGTGGCACACGTGCCATAGGTTCGCCAGCAGTGGCCTAACCCTAGCCTGGTGCACTCCCCTAACCCTAATATAGGGCTAAAGTTTGATTAAAAAGAGGGCGATTTTGAAAAAGCCTTCCTTGAGCAGCTTTTTCTGCACAGCTCAACATTTCTGCCCATTCTAAACACATTCCAACCATCAAAATCATGCCAGGACACCTCATTTTTCTAACCCTAACCCAGTGATGGTAAACCTTTTAGAGACTGAGTGCTCAAACTGCAACCCAAAACCCACTTATTTATCACAAAGTGCCAACACTGTAATAAAACCTGAAAACAGCAAGTTCAAGCAAATATATATATATATCTTTGGCAGCACACTGACCAGTCATGCGAAAATTCGGGCAAGTTGTGGTTAATGTGCTGCGGCTTTTGAAATCATCGCCTGGCACCACTACTATTTTCTGGGCATGGGCATGGCCCCTACGTGCGCTGTTATCCAATGCTCGGCTGCTGGGGCGATGCTGGGGCCACTTGGCTCACTTGCCCACAGAGAGGACTCTGCATTCCCGCTGTGACACGCATGCCATAGGTTCACCATCACTGGTATATATGATTACATGGAACACAACCTGCAAGGAAGGTCTCCTGCACAAGCCCTTTCATAGAGGATATGCAAGATCTGTACTGGTCCACAGTGCTTTTGTGCAACTTCCGTACATTTGATCTCAATAAGGAAGCAAATTGTTTTGCAGTGGAGACAAAATCAAATGCATACTTAAAAACAAATATTGTTTTTTATATTAATGTTTCTGTAACAGAGCAATAAGCAAAGCAAAGTAGACTTGCTTAAATAGTTTCTACAGACAAAATCAAGAGTTATGCTAGTCATGTCAAAAGCACACTCAGCTGCAGATGGGAATACTTCATTCCATAAATTCACAGGGAGTAGATCCACTCCCTGTGGTACACTGTAAAGAGTCCTTTCAGATTATTTCAAACTCTGCTGGAATTAAGCTGAGCTAAGCTGGAAGGGTTTATGTTATGAACTGTTTGCTTAATCCTCCATTGCAGTTAACTACATGATTCACCATAGTTTGATATGGGTCTGCTGTGGATTTAGTTTACAGTGAATACAACTTCAATATAACTATACAATATCACTACCTATAGAATCTATCATTGCCATCCCCCATTATATACCTATACTCCCGTTTTTGACAGACTGTGTATGTTCTTATATGGTCACTGTGTTACTATAAGATTTTGGGGGTTCATTGATCTGAATTATCTCCCTCAGATTGTCTCAGCTTTATGAGCAGGTTTGCACAATCACCATATTACACCAAGTCTTATCGGATTGTGGCATGTGCTGATTGTCCTTTTGAATATTCAGTCCACAGTGGGAAGGTGCTATGGGTTGGGGTGTTAATGTTGTGAAGCCTCATCTTATGTTCAGCCTGTATATAAGTGCAACTTATAACACAAAAATACCCCAAATCTCCAGGGACCTCCTTCTAAGAAAACTGAACCTTAAGCAAGTGCTGGCACCCCTGAAACTCCTTGCTGCTCAAAGGTGGGGTGAACTTAACAACAGTTGTAAGGCACGCCTTTCTAACACATGTCACTAATTTTTTATAATGGATTTCAAGTTGCATATCAAAAAGTTTCCTATTCATCTTGGGATCGGCAAACTTTATCATAACTGTAAAGCACTCCCAGGACCTGCTTTACGCTGTGATATGCAAGCAATGGCTGTTAATGCTGAGTATTCCTGGTTGCCCATATCCTGTTCTTATTACTTAATCAGTTGTTCTGTACATGAAACAAAATTAAAAGCCTTTATACTCCTTTTTCTCTTTGCAGATTTTTCCTTACTGGAAGCCAAAAACGGTACTTTGAAAAACTGTCCATTTACTGCGACAAATATGCGGAACAAATCCCAGTCACTTTTGTTCTTGGTAAGCATATATTCTGCAATTATGGAACATGCAGTCTGATTTTACGTAGGACTTCATCAATGTCTTTGGTGAGTTGCAATAGAATGGCCAGACTTTTGACTCCCAAATTGTTCAACCAACGCAGCAACAACTAATGAGTTACTAATAACCCACCCTACTGAAACAAAAAAGCTTGAAGACAAACAGGAATGGAGTTTTATATGAAAGGATTGTGAACTCAGTTCTCAAAACCCCACTCCTTAATCTTGGTGTATGAGCTTTTTTACATGAGAAGCTTCTGCTTCTGGATTCTTTATGAATTAAGAGTTGCTCCTTTACATGTGTTTTGTTTTGGTTTTCTGGGGCTTTTTTGCCTATATTCCATTGCACAAACTGTAGTGGGTACAGTGGTATAGCAGAACTGCATAAATCCACAAATATTTCATTACACTATTTCTGAATAACAGCACTTTCCTCAACATAAAAACCCCACAGAAATGATCCCCCAAGAACAGGACAGGTCTTAGAAGAGGATGAGGTGGCGGGGGTGATACAAAGCACAAGCACACAATGAATGCATTGTGTGGAAAAGGTTCAGGCCTCCCCCACCCCTGCACCTGCCACCCACGGTCCCACTTATCTGGAGTGACTACTTTCGCTCCTGGCTCCAGCTGATGAGTTTCAGAGTTCTACTAAATAAAACATAATGTAGATCCCACAGGCCTGAGATTTGCCCACCCCGGCTGTGGACCATGTCTCAGGGCAGAACATCATGTTATTACAACAAACCCAGTGTTCCACATACATCTGTCAAGGTAATATGATTGTGTATGACTAGAACAGATAATCTTATCACCTGTAAAATAAACTCCAAAATCCATATTGATACCTTTAACTAGAAAAACCTAATAAATGCACAGGATTTCAAGATCTACATGTTCCTCATCAGGCTGGATTTTGTAAAAAGCAGGCTAGGAAGGGGGAATGGGAAGGCAATTTGATTTGATGGCGAAATCAGCAGGTTGACTTGTCTAAGAAGAATGGGAATAGCTTTGCAGATGTTCAGATTACGTTCTGCAGGGGATGTGATGGTTGATCCTGCAGCTTTTCTGTTTCCAAAATGAGGGATCCAGCATTTCTCCATTTCTGGTTCCCAGCAATCCCAGGAGGAATTGTGGGTCCAACAGTCATATAACCTGCACAGTCTAATAAATGGAGAACTGCATAGCATCCGAGAGCTAACAACATTCTGATCCACTTTAGTCTGAGATTAGAGACTGGGTTAATTAATATCAAAATTCATAAAGTGCAAAATGATCAAGCATCCATATCTGAAAGACTAAATGGAATTAGTAACTCTGAGCAAATTCATCACCACTCCATTATGTTATCCCAAAAATACTTTTAAAAAATGCTCTTAGCTACTATTCTCATCATGTTTTCTCCTGTTGGCTTGGAATTACTGTACACACAGCAATACGCCGTACTCACAGGTTGGCATTGACATTGCAGTGCAATGCTGGGAACATAAAACCCTTTCCCTAACATACGGGCCACCAATAAGAATTAGACTGTGCAGTCTGTATTGTCAAACTGTCCCAAGACCTCGGTAAGGGACAGTCTAGAAAAGTTTCAAATAAATAAAATAGTGATGGCTGCCAACCTGGATGGCTTGAAAGAGACGTTAGATAAATTCATGGAGGATAAGACAATCAATGGCTACCATTTATGATGGCTATATATTATGTATGCATGTATTTATAAATTTATATGCCACCCACTAGTCCATAAGGATTCTCCAAGTGGCTTACGATAAAATCAATAGTAAAAATAGTAAAAACCTCTACCACCACCTCAAAACCAATTATATATAAAAGCCATAGTAATGTGGCCATTAAACATTAACATTATGTCCTATTACTTCCAGAATCAGAGGCAGAATGCCTCTGTATACCAATTGCTGCAGAACTGGGAGAATGCTGTTGTGCCCATGTCCTTCTGTGTGGAAATTCCAGAAGCATTTAGTGAGCCACTTTGGGAACAGAAAGCTTTGACTCCATAGGCCTTTGGCCTGGTCCAGCCGAGTTCTTATTATGGTCTTATGCATGTATATAGGCTACCCTAATCTCAGGTTTTGCAGAACCATATGAAAGTGTGGACAGAGATAAACACAAGCCCTCCAGTGCAAAAACTGGTTGCACTACAAGCACACGATTCCCTAGATTAGAGCCGCATGGATCATCAGTTAGGTTATTTGCATCAGTGAAAGGCCATGCTTTAATGGCACATCACGGGCATTAAGGCTGTACGTCCAGCATGCAACCAAGCTTACAATTCACACTGACAGCAGGCATGATTGCTGGTGCGAGCACAGATTCAGTGACTACTTGGGGACAAGAAGCGTGTCAGCTTTCATTTGTCCCTGTTCCTCTTTAAACAAGTCCAGCCAGGACATTTGACCTTATAATAGAGTTACAAGTAAGCATGTATTCCCCAGTACAGGGTTCTTATAAATCTAGTTGTATATTTAACTGGCCACATAACTGGAAGCTCCAAACAAGTGTAAGATTTACAGCAAGAAATGTGAATCAGGGTTTTTCCAAATCTGCAGGGTTCTACGTTACTCTGGTGGTGAACCGCTGGTGGAATCAATTTGTCAATCTTCCGTGGCCAGACAGAATTATGTTCTTGATCTCTAGTACTGTCCAAGGAAGAGATGAATATGGCCGTCTACTTAGGAGAACTCTCATGCGTTATGTGAATTTAACATCCCTCCTCATCTTTCGTTCAGTGAGCACAGCTGTCTATAAAAGATTCCCAACCATGGACCACTTGGTGGAAGGAGGTATTGTCCATTTCTTTTCTTCCCCATCTCTGCCCCAACTCAAATGAATATCAGTGAACATTTCTCAGTCCTCAGTACGAAGAAATATTGATCAAGAAGGCTCAAGAACACATTGACAAAAAAGAAGCAATGCTTCCATCTTCATCAGGAAAACTGCTTCCCCAGTAAATAAGGATATAGGATGTTGAACATGACATATGCCATTATTATTGCTGGATTTCACAAGCAGATACAAAGCCAGGGTATAATTTGAATGGAAGCATTGCATAATCCCATGCTTTACAGCATGGGTTCACCATGTGCTCAGCCTCATGGACAAGGCTTAGTATCATAGGTTGATTAGGGGCACAATTTGATGCATGTTTAGACAGGATAAAATCCTAGAGCTCTCAGCATTCTCCAGCTAGCAGGGCTAGAGGGGGAAAGCTGGGAGATGTAGGTCATTTTTCTGTCTGTATATGCATAGGATTGCAGTCTCAGACATATCAGTTTATTAATCTGTCTCAGACATATCTTCACCATTATGTGAAGAGGTGCAGTGTATGTATTTTATATGAATACACACAGAATTGAATAAAATGGTCAGAGAATCATTCATCTTCTCATAAGCTGGGGCTCAGTGCACACTTGCATCAGAGCATGTACTCTCAGAAGAAACAGGACACCAGAAGCCAGCTATATTTCTTTATAAACAGGTTTTATGACATCAGAGGAAAGGAGAATATTTGAGGATCTTAAGTCTCCCCATCTTAAATACTGGGTCCCCTTTGTCTGGTTTGGAAATTTGGCAGCAAAAGCACGACAAGATGGAAGGATCAAAGACAGTGTAGACTTGCAGACGCTGATGAAAGTAAGTAAGCAAACACAGCAGAAAGTTGTGGAAAAAGACTTAAAGCCCAAGGATGAAATGTGTTACCTCTTCAGTGCTTCTCTATATGCTGTCTCCTATTTTTTTACATTCCCAAAATTATACCTGGTGGCAATTCAGTGCTTCTGTAACTCTGGGACTGGCCCTAGAGATCAAATGACACTTCAGGCAAGCAGCCTCTTCTCCGTTTTTCCATCTTTTGAAAATCTTTAACGTTAATACATGTGAAGGCAATGTCAGGGTCAGTTTTACATTTGAACAGGTACCAAGCAATTTGAGCTGCTTATTCCCAACTGGCCCTGGGAACCTCGGACAACATATTTAGCACACGAGACAACTGCTGAGTGATACTTCAGACTTGAATACAAACTGTTTTTCACATTATGCATGAAGTGGATATCGCTATCATGGGCCCCGCACCAACTGGGTTTCATCCAAGCGGGTTGCATGGGGTTGCATCCAGATTTAAGCTGGCTCCATTGTGCTGGTAGAAAGGGACTCCCCTGCCCCCTCCTTCTCACGGCAGCTCCTCCAGTCCGTTAAAAATGGAGAGTCAGGAGAGCCAGCTTAAGGGGTCAAGCTGCGGCATGGGGAGCAAGGGAATCCCCCCAAAACGGACAGAGGGAGCAGGGCCCTTGCTTTTGGGAGAGGCATTTCCTGGATCCATTCCCTAAATATGAAGTTACCACCTCACTAGACTCGCACTGGCAGAATAAGCTGAGACTGGATCATAAATCGCCTTTCAAACATCACTTCTAAAATATTTGGCTAGTGTGGCTGGCAAGCTGCAGCCAAAGAGGACAGCTCGGGTATGCTGGGAGTTGTCAAAACAGAATAGGGGTTTGCCTTACAATGTGCTCGGGAAGGTCCGAGCCATGTTGCTAGCGAGTCTCCTCCCTCTTTATGGGAACAGCACAGAATTGAAGATATAATTCAAAAGCCTCGGGTATGCAGAGAATATTTATATGGTTTGGGCTGCAATCCTAGGCAGCCATAATCAGGAGCAAGCCTCAGTGAATGAAAAGGGAGTTTCTTCTGAATAGACATCAGGTTCCTAAAAGATTGCCCTTGGGCCACAGGTTTCCAGCACAAAGTCCTCCTTAAGGGTCAGTTTGCTACTCTGTGATCGTCCATCAGCTAAGCTATCAGCCATCAGAGAGCCTGTTGTTACACCAAGCTCACTGCATGAATAATAATCAGAATCATCTCCATTTCAAATTTTCTTGTTTTGTTCTGTTTCTTGCTTAGGAGATGAATCGGTTTCGGTCATGGTGTAGTCTGCTCTTCGGTTATGACTGGGTTGGAATTCCACTAGTGTACACACAGGTATAGAAGCAACAACTTTCACCGTGTGCAAAGGCTGAGATGAATTTGAGGGTGTGGGGTGGGGATCTTCAGTGCTGAAAAATCCACAATTCAGTGGGTGGGATCCACTTGCATGATTCCACTGACAGGAGAAGCAGGAAACTGTGTTTCAGCAGCCTCTCCCTGCAGCCTCAGAATTCCCAGGGTGTGTCTAGGAAATGTTAAGACTAGACCATTTTGATGCAACATGCACTTCCTAGTTATACATTAATAAAATGGTAATTAAGAATTGCATTCTTTAATAATTATGGGTTGTGTCCCATGCTACTCCAACTTAAGCCCCATTCATTTCAATAGGATCCTTTGCAGCAAATCATAGGTTAATGAATTCGTAATTTGCCGTGTCGCATGCCCAGCACACGCTCACTACCTTTTTGCATATGCAGTCCCAGATTTGAGGTTATTTAGTGATGTGCAAACCTGAACACTCTGGATTAATCATGGGTTACACCTTCCATAGTTAACCTACAATTAGTTATTAGGTTAACTATGGGTTGCTTAACCCACAGTGTCCAGATTCTCACGTTATGAAATAATCTCCAATTGGGTCAACTGAAGGTTGTATATTCAAAAAAGCACCAACCCAGCAAATCATGGGTTAATTGGCCTATTCTAAATAGGAGTAACACTATAGATACAACCCTAGATTCATAGTAGCATCTTAATGTGAATTTTATTCATTTTAGGTTGTCACACTTGCTGTCTATACCTTCTTCTTCACGTGTCTGATAGGACGTCAGTTTTTGGACCCTGACCAAGGCTATCCAGGTCATGATTTAGATCTTTACATTCCTATCTTCACATTGTTACAGTTTTTCTTCTATGCAGGATGGCTAAAGGTAAACTGCCTTTGTAGTTTTAAGTGCGGTTAGAATTTTCTTGTAATTTTGTTCAAAACTGATGACTGAGAATCTTCCAATGGAATGGAAGTGCAAGAGCTCCTTGTTTCAAATTATCATCTAAAATGTCACCTAAAGGAATTAGCATTCATTTAGAGTGAATCCTATGCACATTTAGGCAGAAAAAAGTCCTACTACTCCCAGTATTTCTTAGCAGCTGAGGAATGCTGAGAGGACTTTAAAATGTACAGGATTGCACCTTTAGTGAGTTATGCTTATTCAACCATTTTTTAGATTCATTGCCTCAAATTAAAACTTCAAAGAAAGATCTAGCAGTTTAAGAGATGTTGAAAAATATCTGGATATCAGGTGTTTGTATGCACAGAAATACTAGGATCAATATTCACTGACCATATTTTTTACACACGCACGGTGATGACAGTACATACTAAAACACGGTTAGCAGTATTTCTGGGTCACACCATGCTTGCAAATTCCACATATTTTCTATTTATCAGCCATGTAAATGTGTCCAGCCACTTATAACCTTGGTTCAGAGATAGGCCACTATCAGCAAGGCAAGTTTTTACAGGTTTATATATAGCCATTACTGCAAATGTTCTGTTTTTTATCATCCAACTGCATTCTGTCCGCGTGCAAGCTTTATATTTCACAACAGCTCATCAGACGAAAGGACTGTTTGCTATATGATCTCCCTTTTCACCCTAAGCTAGGGCCACTTCACATGTTACTGATCACCCCAATCCTCATATCCCCTGACCCACACGCCAGCCCAATTTTGTGAAGAGTCTTTGAAATTAGAGGCCTGGCTGGCCCCAAAGTTAGGCATGATTGGACCCACAGCCTGCTCAGGACCCACAGCCAGGAGGGGCCACTGCTGTAGAGAGGCTCCTCCTCTTCATCATTGCAGCCTGCTTATCCACTAGCCTCTCACTCTGGCCCAGGTGACAGAGGTAGAGAAAAGGAGGAGCAGCGGATGCCAATGCTTATCCATGGCCTCACTGACTATCAAGCCAACAGTAGTGATGCTGAGACAGAGGATGAAGAGCAAGGGCAGCTGTGACCATGGTGGTGAGAAGATAGTGTTAAGAGCATGGGACTGGGACTCAGAGGATCTGGGTTCGAGTCCCCGCTCAGCCATGGAGCCAACTGGGTGACTTTGGGCCAGTCACAGACTCTCAGCCCAACCTACCTCACAGGGTTTATTTATTTATTTATTTATTTATTAAAACATTTTTATGCCGCCCCATTCGCCGAAGCCTCGGGGCGGCTTACAACAAAAAATTAAAATAACATTTTAAAATATATACAATAAAATACAAATATATAATATAAAACATACACTATAAAACAAGCCGCCCTGGCCAAATAAAATTCAATAATATTAACATTTAAAATACTGCTTAAATAAAAAGGTCTTCGCCTGGCGCCGAAAAACAAATAACGACGGCGCCAGGCGGACCTCTCTGGGGAGCGCATTCCATAACTTAGGCGCCACCGCTGAGAAAGCCCTCCTCCGAGTAACCACCCTCCTAACTTCTTCCATGGAGGGCTCCCGGAGAAGGGCCTCTCCCGCCGATCTCAGGGGGCGGCTGGGCATATAAGGATGTAAGCGCTCCTTCAGGTTGTTGTTGTGGGGATAAGATGGAGGAGGAGAATGATGTAAGCTGCCTTGAGCCCTTTGTAGGGAAAAGGCAGGATAAAAATCGGAAAATAAATAAATAAAATAAATAAAATAAAAATAGTCTGAGGATGGCACCAGGAGTATGTGGCTTTAACACCCTGCTTTCATTCGGCTCGGGGTGCATCTCTGGGACCCAAATGAATGATGTGCTGCCATTTATGTTTCTTACACTTAAGGCTAGCCAAATCATTTGGTACTAGAGAAAATGAAAGGTACCAAGTCCCATAGTAAGCTATTAAACAAGCAAAGCCAATCATGACTGCTCTTCACTATCACACAAAGCAGCTAATCTCAAATAAAACTCTGAATGTTTTCTAATTAACATTGATTTTTTTTCCACCAACCAATTTATAGATCCTCATCAAGTTTATAATTGAGTCTGTAACCCATATAACTACCCTATTGATCCTTTACTCTCCAGTGCATCTGGACATAATTAATTGAAAGGGGAAATAACTTAAATGAAGAGTAGCTAAGGCCATCGTTATCTAGAAAATATATTGATCAAATCATAAAACTGCTTCTATTAGAGCACTATAGGCAACTGTGAAAAAACAGTTAAGCCTTGACACTGTTTTAGCAGTGTTGTTGTTGTTTTCTAAGCTAGTCAGTGTCAACAAACATTGCCTGGTTGTCATACCAAGCTCGGGACATATAGCAGGACTAGATTAACATGGATACTCAGTGCTAGCCCAGGTTCCCGTTGTGATGAAATTACATCACTGGAAATGGATGTCCAAATCCAGTGCCAACAAGTATTCAGGAAGCATCACAAATGTCAGTGACCATGGACCAGACATAAGTGGGTGTGATCCAGCTCTGAAGTACTTGTGAGGTTGGCTCAATATTGGTGACTGAAGGACATCGATAGTTGCTGGGAAACAGTGCAGGGATGACTGGATGACTCCATCCTAAGCAGTGTGTTCAGGTTAGGACAATGAGCTAGAGAAATGGCAAGCATTCTAGGAAGGGTGCTTGGGAATGCTGCCTGGGAATTATGAAAGCTGCAGGAAAAGCTGCACTAAGTGAAGCTTCTGGACGTTCTTTGGAGAATGTCCATATAAAGCCGAGTGCAAGAATCCATCATCGGCGCTACAAAGGCATGTCTGAGAGCACGCTTCCCCGTCTCTGGGAAAGGACGCCACCTGCTTGGTACAGTAGCCATGCTGCTTGGAGCCATGCTGAGTCAAGAAGCACTGAGTGTAGGTACACAGGTGCCACAGAAACTGGACATGGGGAAATGGCTGCTCCGCACAAGGGCCTCCCAGCATTTCTGTGAGGGGAGCATCAGCTGGTATAAGCAGCTCCGCTAAGAGAGAGCTTGAGGACTAGTCCCGCTTGCCTACAGGTGCTTTGCAGTGCGTCCATTATGCCGTCTTAACCGGTACGAGTGCAAGGGAATGCATTATTATGAAGAAGCAGTAAGAGCCCGGTCCTTCAGCATGTTCTGTCTAATAACGTCCAGAAAACAGGACTTACACTCTGAACTACATTTCTCACTGAAGCAGGCATATGGAGTTTAAGCCTCTTGCTGCAGAAATGATGCTAAAATCGTCATTACAGAGTGTCAGCCTGGTACAAGAGTAACATGAAAGATGTAAAACACTATTTTCTTTGGGAGAAAGAGGGCTGCATAAAGGACTATTGATTATTGCATTGCCTCTGTTTCTCTATAGGCAAGGTCATTTTGGAAGCAAGTTACTCGAAAACATTCTTTGGCTGCAAGTCATATGAGTTCTGCACAGGAGACTGGTTCCCCTCAGATGAGGTCCTTCTAATCCTACCCTCTGTCACCCTGGATTACTGCATAAGCCATTTAGATGTCACGTCCAGGAGTCCCAAAATAGCGCTCAATTGTCCAGCATTGCATTCCTTTGCAGACAGTGAGGTCATGTCCTGCATGCCTATGGCAGGCCACCCATTCATCAAGCCAGGGCAGTGTTTCCCCCTGCAGTCACTTGCATATTTATCTTTCACGTTCACTGAAGGTGTCCTGCTCCACACTTGCTTGCTCATGAAGATCCGCCTAGCTAGAGTCTTGCTGTCCTACTTCTGTAGTGTCCAGAGCGACACAGCTGTCCATGAAATCTAGATGTCTCATGTACCAGTTTCATGCTGGGCTCAGTTAACAAGAGACCGAGGTTCAACTGGTTATGCAGGTCAGGAGCAGCTTCAGGCTTTTGAAGACCTTTGGACAACATGCTCTCAATGCCACCCACTCGCCACCATCGCTACCAGTTGCCGTTGCTGCGCCTCCTTTTTCTCATCACTGCTTGCTTGCTTGCTCGCTAGGCAGAGAGCCAGGGAACAGGTGAGCCGTGGCACCTGCTTCTCTCTCTTCTCACTATCACCATTGTCTGGACCAGAATGAGAGACAGGTGAGCAAGCAGGTTCTAATGGTGAAGAGCAGGAGCAAGTCTGAGGTGCTCTTGACAGTGGCCCCCTGCTGGCATCTGAGCTCTTGGCATGTGACCCCTACAGCTGGAAAAATGCTAACTCTGTGATGTAAGATACACTCTGAGGCAAATCAGCCTGAGAAGTAGCAAGCGCCCGAGGCCATGCATCCGGGCTGCATCAAAGGTTAAAAGAACAACAATAAGCTATGTTTTATTTTGTGTTTTATTTTATTTTTTGTCTTACTATTAAATTGTCCCAAGCTTTCGGTAAGGGGTGGTCTGAAAAAGTTTTAAATAAATAAAAACACAAACATATCAGAATAATCAACTGAAAACAAGATTGGACATCTCCCTTAGGATAAAACAGAGTGAACATTAAACCCTATTCCAACCTCCGTGGCATATGGCATAGCACAGGCTTCATCACCGACCTGAAACATGGTTAAGAGGGAGCTCATCCAGCCTTCTGAGGAAAGGAGTTCAGTTTTTGGTGTGCTGCTGCAGAAAAGGCCAAGCTCACAACTAGGTGGGACATGTAACAGGGTCTCTGCTGACCACTGCAAATTAAGGGCAGGTTCGTAGCACAGGAGGGACCTGCGGACCTCCTGGCTCCAAGCTGCTTAGGGCTTTAGAGGTAAGAATTAGAACTTTCTCTGCTGGGCTGTTGCACGTCTTTCAGTCCAAGGTCTGCATTCCATTTTGGAAAAACTGGTGGGCTGAAGACAAGCGGATGCATTACCACAATTCAAATACCACCAGTGCATTTTAGCCTTAAGCTACTCCTGCCAGTAAATAACCCTCAAGAGGAGCATTTCAACTGTCTAGAAGGGCTGGGAGAACACACAGAAAAGCCAGAAAGGCATTACATGATTGACAGCTGGAGGAAAGGATGTGGCTATATCTGAGGAACATCAGTGGAGTGGATTAGAACCTCAGGCTGGCCAGATGTAGCTTACAGACCTAAGGATGAGCATCCCCCATTCAGAAAAACACTGGAAACAAGTGAACTTGATAGCATACCTGTGTCCCACGGTCTGTAAAACCACAGTGTGACCAACTGCATTTTGCAGTGGCTCTAATTCCTGAACGCTTTTCAAGGATAGCTCCACATAAAGTGTGTTTCAGAAATCTAGGTATGGATCATTGTGGCCCAGCTGTATGCTGACTGACTCCTGGGAATTGAGATACCAACAAATTCCCCTGCTGCCATTAATAAAATTAAAAATTATTAAAAAAAACAAATTCCCCTTTGGGGATGCCTGCTCATAAGGACTGAGCGGGCCCATGTTTGAGATGTCTTTTCAGCACTGGCTCCTGCTTGAATGTGGCAAGGGAATTATGTGGTTGAGTCTAATGGTGGTGACATTTGGACTTCACCACTTTGGACTGTGGGTGCAGAAGCAGGTTTTAAAAGTTCTCCGGTGTATTTAAAAAAAAGTCTTCCTGTAAGTTGAAACCTAGCACAGCAGGCCTGGCCACCTTTCACCCAAATTTTAACTTTCAGGACAGCTATCCAAAAATGGCATCCCCACATAACAACTGGAAGTGGTATGTACCATCTCAACATTCAACTGCCACATGCAATACCAACTTCCCCATCCTGATGCCTGACAGATGTATTGGATTACAACTTGCAGTATGCTGAGACAGTGCATGCTTCACTTACTCCGAGTAGGCTCCTGCCTTCCATGTTTGCAACAGGAAAAAAATCAGTAGCTTTATGACTAAAAGCTGCAACAGTTTCCAACTTATTTTGCATCTGTCTTCTCCAGCCTTCCCCAACCTGTTGCCCTCCAGATGTTTTGGACTGCAACATCTGCCATGCCCAACACACTTAGCCATTTGAGCATGCTGGCTGAGATTTATGGATGTTGTAGTCCAAAAGAACAGATGAGCAGCAGGTTGTAGAAGTCTGCTCCACTTGAATAGATTTCTTTGTTTGGTAGGCTGTCAGGTGTACTCACCATATTCACCAAGTCCACTTTGGGAAATCACAGAAATGACACATCATTGCTTAGCAACAGGCTTGTTCCCACCATTAGTGCAAGTCTCTAGTGCCAAAATCTTACGTTGTAAAAATCTAATTACAGGTAGCTGAGCAGCTTATAAACCCATTTGGTGAAGATGACGACGATTTTGAAACAAATTGGTGCATTGACAGGAATCTGCAGGTGAGGCCACTGTGCTTCTGCTTATGACTATGTGCTTTTCTCATGTGGGGTTATGATTGTTCTCTTCCACAATGGGTCACATCTACAGCATCTACATTTAATCACAGATTAAAAGAGGGCCATGCTTCTAATAATGCTGTTCTCATGCCAAGGGATGCTTGATGAGTCTGCCTGTCCACATCGTTGTAGGTTCAATGTTCTCAGCTGCATACTGTCTAATTGATCTGATTTCCAGTTAGACTGCCATAATGTGCTCTATATGGAGCTGCCCCTAGAAGGGTCTTCTGAAACCACAGCTAGTGCAACATAATGCTGCCACCAGGGTATTGTTTGGAATGAGGAATACAGAACATATTACACTCATTCTGTTGATCTGCACATGTTGTCAGTTTGTTTTCAGACATAAGTGAAGGTGCTGATTTTAATCTTTAAAGCCCAGAATGGCTTAAGACTGGGATACTTTAAGATTTGCCTTCTTCTATATGTTCGTATGTTTCATTACCTGAGGACCTGCTCTGGACCTGTCAATGACTAATAGGAATAGAGGCTTTTCAGTGGTGGCACCTATCCAGTGGATAGCCCTAAGTTTCACTTAGGCCTGGCACTTCATGATTGATTGATTAGGAATTCTCTGATTGATCCTTTCCTCACTCTTCATAATAGATATGTTAAAGCTATTTTCCTTTTTCTGTGCCCTCACTTTGGATTGCTGGTTTGTGGGGGGGGGTGTAATAAGTTGCTATTTTTGTTGATTTGGGGTTGTTTTATGAAGTTAGTTTTATGTTTGTTCAAAATATTTGTGACATTGACTTTATTGTCTGCATATGGTCTGCTGCCAACTGCTTTATTTTTTTTTTTTAATTTTTTGGGTGGGGGAAAACAAGTAGAATGACAGCTTTCTAAAATAAAGCCAAGAGATTAATTCTTCTCTTGGTAAACAAATAGTGCAGAAAATATATAATGTGTAGCCAGTCGCCACGTGAAATGAGTCAATCCTATGGTTGTTTGGTGTGTTTTGAGCCAATTGCACGGTTCTCTGGGTTGTGGGCTAAGTTCCTTGGCTTCACACTGTGTTGCAGTGCTCTGATCCATAACCCATCTCCTAGGTCTCGCTTCTGGCCGTCGATGAAATGCACATGAATTTACCGAGAATGAGAAAAGATATTTATTGGGATGATTCTTCAGCCCGCCCACCATACACATTAGCAGCTGCAGATTCCTGCATTCCGTCTTTCCTTGGATCAACAATTGAAATGGGGTATGTGACTCTGCAGTTTCCTGCCATAGTTTTACATGGCTAAACTGGATTGCCATTAGTCTGATTTAATACATCATTAATAGCCCCCTCTTACCTGAATTAACACTTGTATGCCTAATAGCAGGTAGAATTCCAGCAGATCTCAGTCTATTATGACCCTACGAAGAGACCAAAAGCCCAGCTAGTGCAGCATCCTGTTTCCCTCAGTAGCCAACCAGTTGTCTATGGGACACTCTCAAGAGGACATGAGGTCAAGAGTTCACTCCTTCTGCAGTTTGCCATGCATTCTGCCTCTGATCCTGGAAGTAACACCTAGCCATCTTGACTGGTAGCCACCCACCACCTCATCCCCACGAATCTGGTGATCAGCATACCACATCCTGTAGTAGTAAACTTCAAAGTTTACCTACACGCTGTGCAGAGAAATCATTCCATTTTGATGGTCCTCTTCTTAATCATCTTCTTGTCCTTCTTTCAGTGGAACCCATACAATTCAGTCCTCCATCTGCATGTATACAATATTTTGGGCCTAACTGCTAGGAAACCAGATCTCCTGAGGATGATGGTGGTGTGGAGCTTACAGCAGTCACAGGGGCTGTTGAACTGGCTGAGGGAAGTTGTGCTAGGGAGGGAATGTTTGGATCTAACCACCCCCACCTGCTATTTGCCCATGGGAGGAAGGACAATATAACAAGAAAAGGGTGCAGAGTTTTGTATTCATTGGAAATGTGGTACAGTGACAGCATAAGGACTTTAAGAAGGTAGCGGTGCATTACTGGGGGGGGGGGGAAATGAAGCATCTGAGCTTCATCAGAATTAATGAGATGATGCAGGTGGACAGTAGGAGAGAGATAAGAAGCCCATTGTTCTTAGTTTAGCTACACATGGATACCCTACCAAAACCACGGAAACTAAAATAAAAAGCATGCAGCAGTACTGAAAGCAATTGGACATGCATACATAATTAGAATTATCTTGAATCTTTCCAACCTGGAGAGGGCTCACCAGGACCAATGCCTGGAATGGGATGGTTCCAGGGCATTCAGCAGCTTCCTGTTCTGTTAAGGCCTTTTCTTTTTCACCAAGTTGATTTAAATGTGTTGCTCTGGTGCTGTGAGTTACATCCTAATGGGCTTTGGTGTTTGGCTCTTTCATTTTATCTTTAAAATTATATTGCAGTTTTAACTTGTAACTAAAAGTTACTTTAACTTGTAAAGGAAACTTGGGGGTCCCATGTGGGCAAGTGACTTTGGACCACCCACCCATACACTCAGCCCGATTTTTTTTCCGCAGGGTTGTTGTAAGACTGGGCAGGACACCATGTGCACTGACTTGTGCAACCTGAGAGCAAAGTGGCATTTAAATATAACTAAGAAAAAATGAAATGTAGTACAAATATTTTATACATTAAATTTAAATTTATTTAAAAATAAACTGCTTACATGAGTGCAGTGCTAATATAGACATACCACAGTTCTGTTGAAACTAACCTAATACCAGTGGCACTGATGCTGAGAATAAATTGCTAGAAAGCTAGTCCTAATGCTAATATAAAAGCAATGCAAAGTAATACTTGGGACCTGCAAAACAAACCAAATGATACAGTGTAAAAGCTAGTCATGCACTTTTCCATCCATCCATTCCATTCCATTCCCCAACCCCAGAAGGTGCTTTTTATTCTGCTCCAACAGCTGGGCAGCATTGTATGACCCCACCCCCAACACACACACACTGCACTTTTACAAACTTCACGGCCTGCCTCTGCTTGTTGCTGGCTCCCACTAATGTGTGGCTAGTGCTGTTTGAACTACGGGCTTTTCTACACAAGGCATTTCCTGAGCTGTCCATCACTGCATCTACTTCGTTTTGTCACGGCACTGAGATTCGAGCTCCACCACGCAGAGAGCACTTCCTCTCTTGCTTATCTGCTACAGGGCCTCACGGGGTCCTCTCGTGCTGAGAGACGTCATGCCATTTCTCCTATTGCAATCAAATGGCTAATTTTCCTCATTCTATTTTTTTTTAAAGGAGATAGGGAAGGTATTCTGAAAAAAACCAGACTCTGGGGATCACAGTGGCACCCAGAGCCTGTAAACAACCACGAGTAAGGAATCAAAAGTGCATAATGGACACCTCAGGTAGAAAAGTCCTACAAAAGGATCTACATTGCAGGAATGAAGTTTGCTATTAATACATGTTTGTCTTTGTGTGTGCTTCCATTTTTATTTTCTAGCCTAGCAGACAGCCAGTACTTCCATGGAGAAAACTGGCTCCGGGATGATTATAAACCCAGAAGGCAACATTCAGTGCTGAGAAAAATGAAGCGATTTCTGAGTGTCCGCGAAGGCTCCCCCTCCCCAACCAGGAGGAGTTACCAACGGCAGACCAGCGAAAGCTCCGTCTTTTTCCCATCCCATGAAATGTATCACATCAGCAATTTACAGGACATGCACTCCAGAGGGAGACATTTCATCTCGAATGGCAGGAGAAACCATGAAGGGCCTGAGAAGAATATGAGGATGCATGGAAGCATGGATCTAGGAGTCATTAGAGAAACCAGCAGGAATGAAGCTCTTGAGACAGGTGGCCAGCCCAGTGAGAGTAAGGCCTTCAGGACAATGGACTCCCTGTCCTCTGGAACAGAAGCCAAGGAAGCCGTGCTGGACTCACAAACAAGTGGCACCACTTCGGTCCAGACAGAAAAAGATTCTGGCAGTCGAAGTGAGTCAGAGACTGACTCTGAGGGACTTGTCTTGACCCACCACGGTCCCCTAAATGTTGCTGAACGTTTGCTGATACCTCCCTTGGAAGCAGGGGCAGCTCCTGTGGAATCCAGTCGACAGGATTCATCCACAGGTGTACAAGAGGCAAAGGATGCAGATGCCCCTCAAAGGATGACACCTGGCGACACCACAGATCACCAGATCTGGAGATTCCCAGATGTCCTTACTCAGCATGAGTCACCCAGCACAAGAACTGCACCTCTTTTAGCTGGAGCTGGAGCATCTTCTGGAAAAAATAATGTAAGCACGGAAAGCACACCTACTCCTAGTCCTACAGCCGTAAATACATTTGACATATCTTACCTACTAGAACAATTAGATACCAAAGAAACTGCTATCCTTCATATAGCTGAATTCAGCAATGAGAAAATAAAGGACAGTGCTGACAAATCAGAGACAGCACCTATATGATTTGGTTTTCTCTCGTCGTATGCAGAATATTTATTTTTAACAGCTCATCTCAGGACTCAGAAAATCCATGCAGATTGCACAGTTACGTTGCTACATTATGCACTAATGCCTTTCATTTGGATAAAACATTTCAAAAAATGCTTATGTTTACTTTAATTGTGGTTTTCCTGAACAAAGGTCAGCTCAAGTTTTACAGGTGAGCATGAGATACAGGTAGGTGTGTGCGTGCACCTGTTTAGGAGACCAGCCTTTAAATTACTGGCACCCTCTCTCTCTATAAGTTCCAAAGAGGATGGTGGAGGAATAGCAACATTCAGCAGCTGTAATTTTTCACCCGTGACACTGTGAATGAAGTTGCACTTGTGAAACTTCTTCCTCCAGTCTTCCCATCTGGCCCACAGTTTTCAATTCCCTCCCCTTCTTACTCCATCCCTAATCAGTAAATAGAGTTTTTAAAAGCTCCCATAGGTGCCAATGTAAGCTTTAAAAAACGTAATTGTGGGAATAGAGGAGAGGAAGCGAGAGAGAGAGAGAGAGATTTTCCAGGCAGGTCAGCCCTGGAGAGGGTGGAATTTTATTATGCAGGGAACAGAGAAACTCTACTATCCTATAGCCCCTCAGACAAGGGATGCTCCCAAGGGATGCAATCCAGTGCATGTTTGTGTGTGGGCGCGCGCACACACACACACACACACAGAGTCTGTTGGCCTTTTTTCTACCTAAACATAACTACATCCTAATACAGAAGATCATATTTCCACATGATCTGTGGGAATTAGAATCCCCAAGATATCAGTAGGTATGCAAAGCAGGGCAAAATCCACTATCTTTTGCTGCCTGTGGTAAAGAAGAAAATGATATAATCCCCACTTCGCATACCCAAGCTGTCTTGTCTGAAGGCAGGCTGTGAAGTAGTTTGCAAGTGGCTAAAACCAAATTAGTATGAAAAATGAAAAGAGGACAACCCCACAGGTCATTTTCTCAATCAAATTTAATTTACTGTACATTTGACTTCAGAACCAGATCCAATAAGCAAAGTGGGCATGAGTAAGAAATGCGGTGTTACATTATGGACTGTGATCATGAGGGCTCTGAACACATTTACAAAATACACTGTGCAGGAATATAGAGGTGTGGAAGGGATGGTGCACAACTGGATTTGAAGCTGGGAGACTTGACATTTTCAGAAGGGAAGCTAAAATTGCTTTTGGGCCTGTCTGCATCTCTAATTGCACTGCGGAAACAACCTTGGCTAGGATGCTCGCTCTTCCACCTTGCAAGGGAGACATTCCAGACACTTGTCTCCTTAGGAACATAGGAAGCTGCCTTATAGTGTCAGGTGATTGGCTCATCTCACCCTGGCAATGGTTCTCCGGGGCTTCAGGCAGCAGATTTTATAGCCCTAGTGGAGATGTTGATGATTAAACCTGAGGACCTTCTGCATGGTAAACAAGTGCTCTAACCACTGAGCTATGATACCACCCCAATGAGACAAGCCTTACTTTCCTGTAAGCATGCACTAGACTGCAGTCTTAGTTGGCCTACCTACCTATAAGACAACACAAAGACTTGTTCCAGACAAACCTGGCTTCTTTTCCCCTTACCATTAACGGGAGGAAGGGAATTCTAGTTTGCCAGTAATTTTTCTCCCTTTTCCACTTAGGTATGTTTCATATACCTGCACAGATTTTTTCTGTCAAATATGGGAAAGTCCTGTTAACATGTTTGGTGGCAAACATTAGTACAGTATGAAAAATCTGTTTATCTGTGTAGTGCAGGTATCCCCAATGTGGCACCTGCAGGAACCTCCAAAGGTGCCCCAAAAGTTCTACACTTCCTGACCACTTGAAAAGAATTTTTACCATAAGAACCTTGGAAAAAGTTGGGATAGCCTTCTTTCTCTCCCTTTCTAGTCTGTCTTTTCAGTTTCTCTCTCATCCCAGTCTCTACCCTCCCTTTTTCTCACCAGCAACCACCTCCTTCAGCTCACTTTTAAGTAGCCAGGTCTCCACAGCAGATATTACATGATTAGCCACCTCATCTATGGAAACCATTTTGTGATGGTGTCCAAAGCAGCGTCTCAAATACTCAAATATGTCCATGGATCCATAGGCATTAGGAGCACCTGACAACCAAAGTGGCCCTAAGGGAATGTGACGGTGACCCAGGACAGAATACAAACAAGATAGCTGGAAAAGAACTAGGTAACTCTTCCCGGGCCTGGTTCCTTCCAGATGTGTTGGACAGCAATTCCCAGAATTCCCAGCCAGCAGAGCCAAGGGAGACTTGCTCTCCAACAAATATGGAGGGTGCCTGGCAAACTCTGACTAAGGCACCAGTTGCTTCAGCCTATTAGCAGGGTTCCCGCCTGCTTACTGTCTTGACAATTCCTAGTGAAAAGTCAAGAGATTTATCAGATGGTTCAGTAGGGCTGGCTTGTTTGCAATCCCAGGGGGGCTATCAATTCTGCAGGTATTCTATCCTCTTTTCTTTCCTTAATGGGTTTTCAGTGATAAGGAAAGTCAAAGGAAGAATTGATGGGGAAAGACAGGAAAGGGAAGGTTATGAGTAGAAGGCAACATTGCCTGGATCCCCTGTGAAAACCCACAGGTGAAGTGGGGCAATGGGGCGATGGAAGCCTCTGCTTCTGTCACCCCTTTGTGCACGTGCACGCGCGCGCACACTTGTAAAGTGATTTTCTGTCCAGTAAGCATGCCTAGGACTGGGTTATACGGCAGGCAACCCAGAGAAGTATGGACATCTCATCATGGGCAGAAGAAGCGCAGACCCAAAGGCTGCTTCTGTGCTTCTCCTGCCCCACAAAAGACTTAGATAGCCAGTTGTCACCTGCACAAGCCTTTTGTGCCTGCTTCAGAGGACAGCAGACTAAGCTGCTGCTGGGATACATCATACTCGGGCGGAGCGTCACTGTTCCCCTCCCCACCACCTAGGAGAACCCCCACCCTGCCCTGGCTCCAAGGTCAGTATTCTGCTTCTTTCCATGCCCACTGCGAAGGTGGAGGGAGGGCGCTTCTAATTCAGAATCCCACCTGCCACCTTGGAGTACATTTCTGAGGTCAGAATTGGGACTCTGAATTTACCTATGGCCATTCAGACTGTCTAGTGGTCATAGGAGTGACCTTAATGATTTTAAATACTTCACTGGGTAGTTTATAATGTGGCTCCTTGCAGAATGATGAGGTTTCAAGTTATTGATTCAATAATATATTAGGCCTTAACTGAGTATGCAGAGATAGAAATCCATCTAGGATAGCTGACTCCAGAATTTCAAGTCTTAGTAATTCAGACCTTTCCCATTCTCCCTCCCCAATGACTTCCTTAAAATTATTTTTGCTCATGTTATATAGGGCAGAGTTATCTTCAGCAGTTCATTCTACTCCCTGTGCTCATTCTACCCAACTCTATGAGCCAATCCAACTTGATCATTCCCACGATCAAAAATACAATATATAGCTGCGATAAATACATCTCCCAAAATCCATGTTTGTGCATTGCCGGTGCCAATATCCATAACCTGAAAGCCACTGATACACAAACTTTGTCTTCCAGTGGTGTCCTGTTAAAGAAAAAACATTTCTGTTTGGGTGATGTGTTTGCACAAGCTCTATACCAAATATAGAGGACACCTTGCATAACTGTTTCGGCCCCTGAAAAACACTCCCATCTTTTAAATCCATGTTTCACGCCTTTCTGCTAAAGCATGCAGGAGTGCTCGCAAGAGAACAGATGGCAGAGAGAAGGAGTGTGTCTCTTTTGCATGATAACTGAGCCAATGTTTCTTCCTCCAGTCCCGTCATGCATTTGAAGCTACACACAATGATCAGTAATGCAGAATGGATGGACAGCGTCTAAATCCAGATATACTTCTGAACGGACCACTAAACTCCATAAACTTCAGGTGCTGGGGTTCTGCCCCTGATCATGCATGCAGTAGGGGGAAGGGTTAATCTAGACTGGGGCCCCTGCACTTACATTAGAGTAAAACTGGAAGAAACACATTCCCACTAGATTTTATCTGCTGATCTCACAATGTCATCCAACCAACTGCAAAATAAAGCATTGTAAGGTCGTATGGTCTTGAACCAGCACCTCTAACAGCCAATATCAAGCTCCACCCTGAGAGAATCAGCTGCTTCTACAAGCCAACGGGAACAATCCAGACACTACAAAAGCCTTGCAACCAAGTCAGCTCTTCAGTTTGAGTGACTTGTTCTCATGAGCAGCTGTCACCATTTCTGGTGGCTCACCTTCATGATTTCACCCTGTCTCCTTGTGCTGGCTCTTTGATCTTCTGATGCCTGGACTCCTGGCCATCTCTGGCCCTTCGATCGCTGACCACTTGCCTGCCAGCCCCAGCCCTCCTTGTAGCTCAATATACATTTCCAACCACATTTTGGCCCCAACTAGTAGAACAGGGTCAGGGTGGGAATGGAGATGGACAGAGCTCAGTGATCAGTGAAACCCGCAGCACAGAGAAGCAAGCCAGGAAGTGCAGGACATTGCTTCTCCCTCTTCAGACTAAGGACGATGGAAGGACACCATTTGACCTCTTGAGTATAATCATATGTCTGAATCTGATGGGCTGTGGGATGCAGTAAGGTCATCAAATTCCCTGCCTTACCCTCCAAGTGGTACAAGCCAGTGAGGGAAAAACTAATCCTACTGCGGTGGCCTAACAGAGAAAGCAGGGGAGGAATCTGCATAATCAAAAAGTTAGGGAGGATCGAGAGGAGCTTTTCACACCCCACCAAATAGCATTTCTTTATATTGAAAACAGTACACATGACATTTTGATGCAAGACAGGTGCTCACTGCATTGCTCATGAGACGATAACTATGAAGAGTTAGATGCATACCTTAAGGACATACTGCTCTGAGGTTAATGTGAACTCTTGTTGCTTGATGGTAAATGTTACTGGGGGTAGACTAGATAGTCTTCTGCAGTCTACAGAAAACTGTAATATAAAATTAATTTATTCCTTGAGCTGGCGGTTCTCTTGACATTTACATATAACTATGAAATGACATGTTGTCAGCAGGCATCCAAGTGGCTCACAGACAGCACAACACAACCTGTCAGCATCTTCCCCATCGCTCCATGCTGACCCTACCTGGAGCTTGGGGAGCCAGCTCGCAGCAGGAGCATCCCCCCAACTATGGGGATTCTGTGCCACCTGGGATGAAGCTGGCCCTGCTCCCACATGGTGATGTCAAGGAAGAGCAGGACCACCTTCACTCTGGCTCACAGGGAGTCAGCAGCAGCCAGAGTGGGGATGCAGCGCATTCTGCTGGGCCACCTCTAGAGGAAGCCCAGCAGAGAAGGCTTCAGCAGAAGCGGACTGGCTGAGCAGAGGGGGGGTGATTCCCATCACCAGCAATGGGCACTCCCCCATTTCCCCTTCTCCAGTGCTGCTGTTGAGCAATGGCAGGGAGGGAGCCAACCCGCCATGCTCCCCATGTCCCCATTTGTCACGGGGACGCGGGGAGCAGGCACCATTTCTCAAGCGTCTAAAGCAGGGGTCTCAAGCTCAACTGACCTGGGGGCCGCTGGACGTAGTCTGGGTGAGGCTGGGCCGCATCAAGTATTCCACCACCGCGGTGGGGCTGGGCCGCTCACCCCGCGTCGCTCCCGGAGGCTGGCCCGGGCGCCGCCGGCGCTTTGAAGGCCGCAGGGCCCCTCCCCCGTGCCCCGCCCCTCCCGGCAATTGGCCCGCGGGCTGCGAGTTGGAGACCCCTGTTCTAAAGGAAGTGGCTTATAAGTCCTGTGAGGTAGCTTTCCATGCAAAGTGGCTAATGGAGTTGTATGAACCTTCCCATCCTTTGAGATGGGTGAGCCACTGTCATATCTATGTGATGTTCAGTTATAATGTGACCCCCCCCCCCAATGACCAGTGGCATCTGCCTGTTTCCAAACGTTTGAGAAAGGGACACTGCAGATAAACTGACAGACAAACAAAACCTCACAGTTCTCTCAAAGTTCAGCACAGTATGTCTCTAGTTTTGTCCTAATTTTTCCCTTATTTAGAGCATTGGTGCTGTTTTTAAAAAGTGGGTCATACACAGTATATCAGAATCATATCACCTGCTTTTTGCCCTTAGTAATTCCCTGCTCCAGGTACATTTACCTCTCCAGCATGAGTTGGCACAGCTCCAATATTTTCTTGTATTCTTTTTATTTGTGAGAATGGTCCAGTAATAAGAGAAGTACCCGAATCGATAATGGCATCACAGCCACGCTTACATGCTACTATCTTTCCCTGGATTTTCACACTGTATTATTGGGGTGTGAAGAAAGAGGAAAGGACAAACATTAATATCCATGCAAGCATGTGGAACATAGACATTATGGAAACAAGAAAATTAATGGTGAATTAAAACAACTGATTGAAATCAAAACTGAGAGAAATCTTTCAGATGAAATGATCTCCTGGAAAATATAAAGCTGACATCTATATTATGCAAGGGTAAGTTCTAATTCTGCAAATGTAAAAAATAAACAATGCAATCCTGTGCAAGTCTGCACAGAGGTAAGACCTACTGAGGTCAATGGGACCTACTCTCAGTCAATGCACATAGGATTGCAACCTGACATATGCAAATAGCTGCTTTTCTTTATGAATAGCACTGACCTGGTAATACGGAGCAAGCTTCATAGTCAGAATAATTATAAGCAGATAATTACATATAAATAAATTTATAAAAATTTTAAAAATCACTCAAAAATTCACTATAGTACAATAAATATTGTATTGACCTACCACTGAAAACGGAAACTGCTTAAATACACCCCCCCACCAACAGTCCCAATGCAGCTCAAACATACATGAGAGCTATTTTAACAAGCGAGCCACCAAAAGACAAGCCACGAAGAAGCCATAATGGCCAGTTTGGCCCTTACTCATGCTCGGTTATCATGTATCTATGACCAGCATGGCTGACTTATTTGAATGGGGATGCTCCCCTTTCTACATTCCTACGCCAATGTTTCTGTTTAAACAAACTTACTTGTTCATACGAATTTGCCAATATTTTTTCCGAGTGACCGGAACCCAGAGAATTGATCCATTGTAAAGGGAGTGGTCTATGCCCCCAAATATCAATTCACCTCCATTCTTAGCATCACCTCCTCTAAAAAAAGAGGAAAGACATGGACTTGATGAGCAGGCAATTGTGACTAGGCATGAAGCTGAATAGGCATGTCCGAACTAGCAGTGCTGAATGGTCGTGTTTTCATTTGGGAGCTTCAGGTATCATAGTCAAGACTAGAGATTTGCTGGGCCAGAGCTAGCCGAGAGCTTCATTTCAGAAACAACATAAAGCCATCCCACCAAGTTGTCCAGTTGTGTGATTGCTACATAGAGTACACTAGAAGCCTAGCAAGACACTGGATAGAAGAGGAGAATCACGCTGGGAGCTCTTCAGCGGCCCAGAGAGAGGAAGTGGAGCTGAGAGCCTGGGGAGACCAGAGGACTCCAGTTTGGAATAATTTAAGGCCTCTCACAGCTGAGGCTAGAACTGAGAGTGGCCCATTTGCCACACCCCTTTGAAGTCTTCCCCATTCAGTGGTAAGGGAGTGTTGTGTCCCTTTAATGGCAGCACACTTGCTTTTGATGCAGGAGGCCCCAGTTGCAAACTCTGCCACCTTGAGGTGTCCCTGTCTGAATCTCCAGAGAGCTGCTGCCACTCAGTGTGGCCTATACTAAGCCAGAGGGGTCACTAGTCTGACTCCATCTAAGGCAGCTTTCTATGGGTGCATCTTTGGTCTGTGCAGAGCTGGATTCGATTCTCCACTAAAGTAAAAGAGACAGGAGCGCCATGTGCATTTAGACTGCACTCAGTTCCGAAAGTGACCATTGCCCCAGAGGCTGTTCTGGTGTCATTTCTTCATGCCACAAAACACTGACCTGTTCAAGAGGAAGGAAAACACTGGTTTCTGGATCAAACGTTGCTTGATCATATTGTCAAAGACCGGAACTGCATTCAGCACCGACAGGGAAGGATATGCAAGGCCCATCACTCCATCAAATTTTGCAAGGACAAAGGTGAGGCCAGGCTCCAGAACAGACTCTCCAAAGTCTTGGTTCTCAATGGTAATGTTGCCAATCTGTTTGTTCATTTGCCAAAGGGAAACAATATGAAAGGTGCACAGCAGCCATGCCCAGTCGGGTGCCCTCTGGCTGTGCCAGACTGCAGCTCATCATGTCCAGCCAGTGCGGGGAAGCAGCAGCTCCCAGGACTCCCATCCTTCCCCAAGCTGGCACTTTCTGTGTTGGACAGCAATTCCCATCACCCGGGACGTTTTCTCTGGCACCTGGAGACGAAATGCAGCCTGCATGCCCAATTTCTGCTCAGAGGAAACAGCGGGGATTCCCAGTGGTAAAAAAGGGGCAGTGGGAGCTGAAATGACTGATCTGATCACTGATTGGAAATAATGGTGGGGATAGAGAAGGCAGGGCTGGAGAGGAAATTCCCTTTTCTTCCTGCAGAGCAAGGCACAGTATGATGACTCCTGCCTCTCTACTCAGAGGGACAGAAGGCCCCTTGCAGAGTAAAGCACAGAACTTTTCTCCGTCTCACTGCAGGGAGAAAGGAGATTCATTTCTCCATGCGGAAAAGGGCAGGGCCCGTAGCTCAGGGCCATTTTTTGCATGGAGAAATTCTGCTAGGACAGAGAAGGGATTCAGGAAGGAAAATCCACGTGGTGTCATCCAACCTCCAGGGAGTGAGCAAGGAGAGCAACCTGGTCCCCAACCACAAAACAGTTCTCCACCCTTGCTGTCAATGGATGATAACCTTTCCTTCCTTTCTTCGCCTTATTTAGCTATATACACTTGCTAGAAAGTACACCATGTGTGTTGCTTTTCTGCCTAGCCTGTTTTCTAACATACACATTAGGATTATTAACATCTATAGTATTTGGGAGAGTCTTTGTTAACCCTTTAAATGTCCATCGTCATGAAAAGCTTAAAAATGAACAGTTCACATTCATTTCCTCTTTAATCCTTCATAAATCTTGTATTCCTTTGCAAAATCCTTATCCATCCCTTCTTTTGTCTTCTGCTGAGAAGGTGCCTCCTTTGAGCAGCCCTTGATGTTGTCAAGTCTAATGGTCCCCTTGTCACATGCTCCCATTTAATGCCAGAATGGCAACCAGGACAAGCATCCTCAATGGATAGCAGCATCAGCAGAATAATTATAGTGATAGAAAAAACTATTGTTCAAGAATTACTAGGCACATACTAAAGCTATTATATTATCTACAATTCATTTTATAATTTAGATTAAACTGTATGAGAACTTTGATCAAGAATTGAATGACCTAAATGTGACTGGAGCAGACAGAAATTTTCACCTTTTTTGTGGCTTTGTTAGATACTGAAACTATATGCTATATTTGTGTAATATTCCTTGGCATCCTTTTTCCTATATATTTTTAATTTCTTTTCAATGTATCTTATTTTCTTTTTATGAAAATAAATAAATTTTTAAAAAGAATTACTAGACACAGAATTCTGTATCCTCGGCAAGTTGTCGCAAGCTTCTAGAGGGGGACACATTCATGTCCTCACATGGACTGTGGGAAAGCAGTGAAGCACTAAACGCTTGAAGGGAACAACAGTTAGTCTCTCTCACCTGTACTTTCTCTCTGGAAGCGATACACATGAGACTCCCAGTGCCATATTCCAAAGAAAATACTTGCCCTCCAAATGCATAGGACTGTGACAAAAATGGCTTGAACATTCGATGACACCCTGCAAAAACAACAGCTATGCTTAGGCCTGGCAATAAGTGTGATTCTCCCCCTGCCTCCTCCCCACAAGTTAGAACGTGCATCACAAAAATGAAAAGGTAGGGGAAGGGTATAAGCCTTAGAATGGAAAAAAATCCTGAGACTCCCAGAATTTCTTAGCCATTCTGTCTACATGTACATGGGATTGTGCCCTTCCAAACATATATTCCCATGCCAGGGGCATCATCCATCACAGTGAAGCGACTGCTTTAAGAGCAGGTGGCAAGTCACAGTGGGATGCTGAAGGACAGATGCTGAAGGATGGTCCATGCAACTTCTCCTGTGTCCTGGGCAAGCTGGCCTGCTGCAGCCGGGAGCCTGTATCTCCCTCCCTCTCTCATCCTCTCTCCTTTTCTCTTCCAGGCAGAACATGAGGAGAGGTTTCCAACCACAATTTTATTTTGTTAAAACTGGCCACCTGGGACTAGATTTGCCTGGATTAAAGAGAGTAATATAAAGATTAGCAAGAGGCCTCCACTGATTTAAAACCTTGTAATCGTGGATTTAGTTCTTGACCGTACCAGGAGTTGATTCCAAACTGAATTCCTGTCCTCCCTTCTTTGCCAGAGTTGGTTCTTCCCTCAGGGATGCTGGAAGATGCTGTCTCCAGGACTGAATTAAGGCCATTTAAAATAGCCATGGAGACTTCCTTACAGAAAGAAATCTTTCCCACCCATTCCAAACAATCACATCAAGTCTTCTTGACTTAAGCACAAAGGAAAGATTCAATATTTTATCCATCTATGTTTTCTGGTCAAATCTTTTGTAGCAAAACAGAGATGCTCTCTGTTGCTAAGGATTCTTTATCCCCTACAGCTTCTGAAGGATGTTCATTTGATTATTTAAATTCATTTCAGGATGTTTATGCCACCCTACTCCAACTATTAAGAATGAGTTAACTTGTCCTAAAAAAACTGAATAGCTCAAACCAAATATATAAAACATAGGCATTTTATTCTGTATTATAAATGACACTGGAGGTGCAATTAAGGTATGGTAAGCAGTATATTATCAGAATAAAAAGAATAGTGGTATACACTTTTGCTGTTAAGTCTCACTGAGCTAAGCTCCACAGCTCTAACATTTTCATGCATTCTAATCAAGGATTAATAAAGAAAGACCAATCTGTCCATCTCCCACTTCATGGCTTTCAGTCATGTTGCATTTATCCTGAAAAGGCTACATTCTGGGCAGACCTTTCCAGAGTGGTACCCAACTGTCCAATAGATCCCATTGATTCTCACTATTAGGGTCATTCGACACATTTTTCAACAGAAGAGAGTTCCTGGCTGGAATCTCCTTGCACAGTGTCTTTTCTCACCGAATCATCAGAGGGTAGAATCAGTGTCAATATTTTTTGCTGATTCCTGCCATGGCAGTAGGAATTCCTGTGTGCATGGGCTTCCCCCTCACTTTGACAGAAATCACCCTACTTGCAAAGCTGTGCCCTTTGTCCGAAGTGAATGGGGAATCCGACACAGAACAAACTCCACAAGTGCATTAGAGCTTCCGTGCCAGAGGAGATCACTGGACTAAGGCGCATCAGGTGCAAAATTTGACAGTTGCTTATAGGGATGATGCATGGACAATGTCTGCTGAAGATTCAGAAATGTTTTAAATAAATACATAATAAATAAATAGAAGCAGGCTGGTAGCAACTGTGCCCTGCACTCATTCCGTTACTGTGTTTTTATACCACTCAGGGACTTGTTCTAACCGTATTGGGTTAACTTTCTGTGCTAGGTGCATCCTCATGCTAATGAGGCTGACAATGATGATTTATCCAGTGTAAGGGGGACATACCCAATAAAATAAACTAAAAGAAAACCAGTGATAAAGCAGTCCAAATCAATTCCTTTAAAGTTCTAAAAGCAGCCATGCTAATTTAAAACAAATTTAAAAGGAGACAAATTTCCTAACAGGTAAGACATAGGAAAAGACAATTTTAAAATGCAGCATTGGGCATATTATTGAAAATTAAACCAGCAGCGGGTGGAGTTTGCCTGTGTCTGTAAGCCCTTCCCTTTGCCCAATCCATTTTCAAAATCTGTTCATTCTGAAATCCATTCTTAAAGCCTGCATTGGTTTAGACCGTATCTTTAAAAGTGGTACAGAATTCCGAAGAGCAGAGGTGCTATTATTAAACATTTGAATGACAAAACATCTCTTACTGCAAGCATCACTGGAGCAATAAATCGACGGAAGCCAAAAGTTACTGGAGCCAGTGTCAAACACCACGGTGAAGGTCTGAGGCGGCGTGCCAATACTCACCTCTCCATAGTACTGGGCCTAGGCGGGGAAAGAAATCCATCAGTTCAGGGCTCAGTCACCTCCCAGCTTACAACTTGATGTAAGATCCCCACATCAGCTCCAACCCCCTGGCCCAAGCAGGCTAGACAGCAAAATGGGGGACTCACAGGGTCCCTGTAAGTGACAGAAGTCCAAGAGGAAGGAATGCACAAACTTCTAGCCCAGCTTTCCTCAACTTGGCGTCGTTCAGGGGTTTCCAGCTTCCATTCCTATCAGCCCCTGCCAGTATGGCCAGTGGGCAAGATCCCTTGCAGCTGCATTCCAAAACATACGGCAGGTACCAGGTTGGGGAACACCAAAGTCAAATATTCTGGACTCTTTCCAAAGGCTGATCAGCACACAGCATGTCGCCTGACTCCAAACTGCTTATTACCAGAGCATGGATAACCAAGTCTAAGCTACCTGTGGCCAGAGTCAGCTCAGGGAAACTTTCTCACTAGGTGCACCGCAATACCCTTTGTGGTGGCATCCAAGGGGTTCCTGTTCTTTCTGCTTTCAGAGAGGCAGTTAAGATGCTTCTGCTCAGGATTATTTTCCTCCTGTTTTAATGGTGTTCTGATGCACTACTGCGGCTTTTTGTTTGCTTTATTGATATGTCACTTTATTAATTGTGTTCCCGCACCGAGTCCAACTGTGCACTTCCATTCATAGACGAGCCTTTGATCCAGAAGAGAAGCCGAGTCATGTTTTGCTGATTTTGCTTCTTCAACCTGCAGACCCTCATACCACCTTCAGGACTCTTCTGGAGGGTGCTCCAACCTACCAGAACAGACTTTTGGGGAGAGAAAACCAGCCACACCACCTCTGGGTACAGCCAAAATTAAATGTGCAACACCGAAACCTCACAGTAACATAGGAAGCGGCTGTATACTGAGTCAGACCATGGGGACCAGCTGAGGATTACCGACAGAGTGGCAGCGACAGCTATCCAGGTTGTCAGGCAGACCTAACTGAAGATGTTGGGGTCTGAACAAGGGACCTTCTGCATGAAACCAGGGGCATTTACCACTGTTCTACACTGTTCCATGTGCTTCCAGATTGTAAAAGAGCTCACTGCAGTGGAACACACAGTGAGTCATGCATTGCGTGAGATCCATCTTTGTTCATACACATTTTATTATGTACATAGGAATCCCAGAGAACACCGAAGCTGATGGAACTGAGTCTGTGCAGGCATCTTTGGTCTTTGAGGCCTTCTTCAATGCTATGTGCCAAGAGAGAATCAGTGCCCCAGGGAATGCAGCATTCAGAAGTTTATCAGGTGTCCACCTCTGTATCAGCCAAAGGAGTTGCACAGTTGTGCCTTGGGCTCTATTTTTAGGAAGAGCCATTTCTGGCATCTGCAGCAGATTGTATGCCAAGGACATTCTTTTTAAAGCGTTGATACCCAAATGGTATTTCATTGCTTTGAGGAGTAAATCATATTTTGCAGATCTTACTGATTCTGTGAAGTCGAAAGCAAAAGCTCTCCAAGTCAGAGCTGCTACAGTAGTGTTTTTCCAGGAATTGTTTGCTAACTCCACACATTTTGGTTTTAAATGTTTTAACGGGTGATTTATCTGTATTTATTAGGATGTTGCCTTTGGAATGTCTAATTCTGTAAATGGCTTCAAGTTTTTTAAAATGTATACTTGACATGCAGTATATGAATCAATTAAATAATTAAACAAATGTCAATGCCTCCCTTCACAACACAAGAGCCTTGCTTGCAGTTTTGAATTAACTCAGGTTGATAACAACTATTCATAGATAAGCAAGTAACTTTTTTGAAGTTGCTGTTGGACAAAGGCGCAAAGATTCTTGCCACATTTCAGAGAATAATTCATTTATTCCAGCTGAGCCACAAGCTTTCCCCCCCTTTTGCTCCAACATACTAGCATCCTTAACTACTGCTCTGAAATTTATTTATTTATTTATTTAAACTGTTTTTATGCTGCCCCCATCACAACGAAGCCTCGGGGCGGCTCACAAATAGAACATTTCAGGGTGTCAAAGAACATTCAGCCTGAAGGCCAATTTTAATTTTCAATACACTTTTGAGAGTCACATTCCAGGGCAAGGTCAAAAGGGGCAAGGGGAAACTACCAATCTATTTTAGCTTAGAGCTCTTAGGGAACCATCTAGGGTGCGTGCCAATAACCTTCTGAACTGAGAGTGTTACAGGCATTCTATGGAAGCTTTCCGTGCCTCCCTCTGAAACACACAACCAATTTCAGCCAATCGAGTATTTTGTTTATGTATAAATAAATAAATTGGGAGGTGGATTCATTCCATGATGCAAGAGCCTCCTACTCACATTCATGTAATCATAAAGCCGCTCTTTCGTAAGTCCTGCAGACAAATTAGTGACTGAAGGGAAGCATCGTGTGTACTTCTGAGCAAAACTATCAGGTTCATGATCTGTCCAAAAGTCTTTCAGTCCTCCACTCTGTCGAAGTGTTGTTTTGATAGATGGAAATCGAGCTAACTGGATCCTGGAGGAACAATAAAAATAGAAAATCATACTGGCATACGGTCACTTGCCAGAGGCCAAGGATTGCCCTATTTTCTGACTGTCCCAACCTGGAGCCCTGCAGTTGTCTGGGACTTCAGCCACCAGCCAGCATGGTCCATCTTGAGGAATACTGGAGGTTGCAGGCCAAAATATCTGGAGGAGTCCAAGTTGTGGGAGACTGGGCTGGAGACTACTTCAAAGGCACACCTTTCAGCAGGTATTATGCAGTGGGAAAGGATGCTGCCTTGGTGGTCCTGGCCTCCAACAGGTGCAGTTTCATGGAGACAGAGTGCCACGGCTCACACCAGTTCAGCTGGGGAGGTCTCAGCTAGGCACATGGTTCATAGGAAACTGTGCCACGCTGACGCAGACCAGTGATCCCTCTAGCCTGGCGGTGGGGAACTTCGAGGACCGCATCCCTCCCCCACCGCTGCCAAGAGATCCACATGCCACTAATTTTGCTGCTAGAGTTCCACAGAGCAGACGGAGGGAAAACCCCAGAAATTTGGGGTTACCCTTCCTGGAGGCAGTGGCAAATTCAGTGGCGGTGGTGGGGCAGCAGAGCCAGGGGGCCTCATGCAATCTGCATATTGCTCAGCCCTGATCTAGCTTAGTATTGTCAGCATTGGCAATTGCCCCGCGGTAGCTTTCTGGGGTTTCAGGTAGAACCCTCCCCTGGCCCTACCTGGAGATGTCAAAGATTTGAACCTGTGCCTTTCTGCAGAGGAGGGGCTCAGGTGCTTTAGCCCTGGACAGCAGCTCTCACCACATCCTCGGGCTCAGTTGGACTCACTGGAGGAGCTGCTATAGAGAACTATTCACACTATATTTGACTCCCCACTGTCCCAAGCTACTTGGAAGGAACAGTCCTGCTGGAATTTAAAGGAAAGCACCCATTAATCTAAACTTCAGAAGACAGATTTCCTCTTATATTAATCACCAAAGGGTAATAACTAAAGTTGACACATGTTTAATGGCCTTAGTCAGGCCCAGTTAAATGCAATGTAATTTATTAGATTATAGGTGCTTTACAATTTGGTTTTAGTCTTTAAATGATTTATTTTATCAATTGATTTTAGATTTCTTGATTTTATTCCTTAAGTCTTTTCATGGCCAATAGCTAAACAACTGCCACCATCACCATCAACAAAGAATTGATTCAGTTGTTGATCTGTGACAGAACACACCCTTTGCTTGTGGAAGATTCAGTCCATAGCATCTCTGCTTAAAATTATTAGATAATAGCTTAAGTGGAAAATCTCAGAAAGATCTCCATAAAGAGCACTGCCTGTGGAACAGACAATACTGGAACCAACAGTCTGATGCTCCCTCTGTGTTGGATCCAGTGTCATTCCTACTTGGGGTAGAAATAAAGTGAACTGGACTGTAGTTGGACAACATTGAATACAACCATATGAACTGAAATTAATAGGATTTGTGAATGTGGTCCTATGCTGATCTCATTTCGTGTATGAAATGTTTTAGACTCACATTGAGTCTCGAACTATCTTGCAAGTATCTTTCTCTACCACGAAAAAGTCATGTGTTTATTTAACTTTTACAAAAGAAAGGTTAAGATGCCTTTAGCCAGAAAAGTAGTCTCATTGCTAAGTTCATTGGGAATTATTTGAAATACTTCCTTACCTTGTGAGAGCTGTGATAGATGGAATATAAACCAGAGCAGCTAAGAGAACCTTCATGGCTTCAGTTGCACAAAAATGGAAATGAGGCTGGTTTCTTCCAGTAATTTCTATTTTTATATACACACACACACCACTAAACCATAATCAGTTGCCTAAGAGGCTGATCAATGGCTGGAGGTCAGTAGCTTGGCAGGGCATTTGTAGTGTGATCTAAAAGTAACTACTGATTAATGAAAGTAGTGCAAACTGTCAGAACAGATGTGGACAGAGGGTAGATCAAGATATGCTGCTTGGTTAACCTCAAAATCTGCAGTATATCAGTAAACATTTCTGACTCACATTCTGATTTAAATTGTTACAACCTCCCCACTCTTAAATCAAGAGGTTGGGTATCTTAGGACTTAGAACTGTAGGACTTTCTCTGTCTTAACATGCATAGGATTGTGCCCTTTGTTGTTTAGTAATGGTCAATGTTTTTCTTCTGGTTGCTTCTATGCGGGTTCCTTCTATACTGCCATCTCTCCCATAGCGTCATCTATAACAGCTGTCCAAAGACCATGAAACACCATGAAAAACAACAAAGGGAGCTGTAGAAATGGATACTATATTGTTTTTATAGAGGTAAGGGATGAATCAAAACAGGTAAGAACTAGAGAATGGTATGGACACAGAGGTCTTCTTTAGGGCAGCTAATGGAACATCAACATATGAACCTTATTGTGAAATCCTGTAAAGAAAGGGAGCTTCGCATGTTATCCCCAACAGCTGTCTTTCCCAGGTGATGTCCCAGGGCATACTAAAAACAAGTCCACACCTTTCCTACAGGTTGTTCCTGCATAGGCTTCCACGTCTCTCAATTCCCTTCAGTGGTCCTCAGGTTCTATGCAGCCTTTACAAGGAACTATTGATTTTCTGAAGACATTCGCTTCTGACAGAAGAGCCTACATTACCCAGCCTAACTACTCCATCTTTCCTCCCACCATCACACAAGAGCAGCTTTCTACCATTCCCAAAATACCAGGGATATTTTTCTAGCATCCTTATCTCTTTTAGCTCATTGCAAGGAGATGTTAGTTTTTTAAATGAGGCACAAGGTGCAGCAATCTAAGGTCACTGTGATCTATTCTGATAAGATGGATTAATGGTTAAACTGTGAATCAGAGCTTTTCCACACAATATATATATTTAATTAAGTTCTAAATACAGAATAATGAATAAAAGTCACAGAGAAGAATTCTGTGCTTCCAGAAATATGTATTTCACATAAAGCAAGCCTAATTCTTGTAGCAGATTTTGGCTAGCTGTGCTATGAAATTTTTATTCAGGGTCAAATTAGCCAATCAGCCAATGGGAATGCTGTTTAGAATCATGGTGCTGACGAAGGAGGGTTTAACTCCACCACCACCACCCTCCCCACAGTTTTCCTACTGGAAATCGCTGCACCATTTGACACAAGTAACAGCTTGCCAGGAGCAGGAGAATTTTTACCAAGAAAGTGGAGCAAGGACAAAAGCTGGAATTCTTCCCCACCCTTGCTGTGGTCCAGAGATGGGTTGAGGCCTCCACAGTGGTTTGTGGTTTAGAAAAAGAGTGGAATCAAGGACACATTTTAAAACATCTAGTTTGATCCACAGATTAAAATATTTAAATACTGAGTCTAACCAAAAGAATGTAGGCATAACATACTTTTTGATTTGTTACATTTATCGCATCAACAGTTGTACTACAGATTCCTGGACTATACAAATGGAAAATGTAGATTGAGGCAAGTACATTAAAATGATCAAAGCATACAGACATGTACCTAGAAGAAAGCCCTGCTGAACAAAAGGGACCTATCTATCTATCTATCTATCTATCCATCTATTTATTTATTTAGAAGGCTTCGATGCTGCCCCATTCGCCAAAGCGTCGGGGCGGCTCACAGTAATAAATAAATAAGCACATTATAAAACAATATAATATAATTTTCCAAGTAAACATGCACAGGATTGCAGAGTCAGTGGCATAAATGCACTTACCATGCTGTTTAAAACAGGAGTGGGCAACCTGCAGCCCTGCAAGGTCATTCCACCACACCCCCCCTTCCAAATGTCAAAACGGCGTGTACTTTGCACTTCTTGTACATGTGGCTCTTTTCCTGCTGCTACTAGCAAGCATTATCATTTCCATGTTCCCTACAGAGTACCTGGCATTTGCAACATAAAACAACACATATGAAAACATGACATGAATATTTGCAGGTATGACCGTTACAAACATTACACCTTAAAATTGCTGTTTGCTAAATGGGGCATGAGATTATTTTGGAAAATATTTCTGATCTACTACTGCACAGTTTTACAATTCACCTGGTGTTGCTGCCCTTGCGGAAGAGAGCTGTTCCAAAGTGATGCCTGTAATGTCCCATCAACAGACACTCATTCACTTATCAGAAACGTTTCAGGGCTCTTGAAAGTCATGAGTGTTGCTATGCAGACTATGCATATATTATAATGGAAAAGGGGGAATGCCAGCAGAACTACAAAGAGTAAATGTGGAGAACAAAACACCAGGCAGCTTTCCCAATCCAGAAAGTTTGTTCATCTGGTACCAACAGCCATTGCAACTTTGCGAAGTTCTTAGGATGGGCAACACTTTCAGGACAATAGTTGCTTTTCTGCCTTCTGACAGCTGCCAGAAATATATTCTGGGGGACCTTGAAGAGATGCCAACTGATAAAATGGTGGATTTGAGCGGCAGGCAAATAAGACGGTTTCCTTTGTGCATTTGTTCTTTCAGGGAGCTGGTCAAGCTGTACTTGAGCGATAACAAACTGAATCATCTACCACCTGAGTTAGAACAGCTACAAAGCCTCCAGATCCTGGCACTGGATTTCAACTTCTTCCAAACACTGCCCCCCGTTGTGTGCACCTTGAAACAACTGTGTATCCTTTACCTAGGCAACAACAAGCTAGGAGACCTGCCTGCAGAGTTACGTCAGTTACAGAACCTCAAGACGCTATGGATAGAGTCCAATTGCCTGTACCACCTGCCCAGCGTGGTGTGCGAGCTGAAGCACCTCAAGACCCTGCATGTTGGATCCAATGCACTGCGTGCCCTGCCTGGGCAGCTGCAATATCTGAAGGAACTGCGTACCATCTGGCTTTCCAGCAACCAGCTGACGGACTTTCCACCTGTGCTCCTGCACATGCCATTCTTGGAGGTGATTGATGTTGACTGCAATGCCATCCGCGACTTCCCCAATCTCGTGCACCTTACTGGCTTGAAGCTGGTGATTTATGACCACAACCCATGTAGAAATGCACCTAAGGTGGGTAAGGGAGTGCATAGGGTTGGAAGGTGGTCTGAGGAGAGCCCGGAGCCTAGAAAGAGATCTGGTTTAGGCAGAGACAAAGGATCTGAAGACATCAATTCCCTTCTGCCGCCACCTCCTCTTTCCTGCAAGCTGTCTCATTCCAATTAAGGAATAGCCATATTTTTCTTAGGAACCAAGAATGCAGAACTGATAGGCACCTTCTCAGCCAAACTGTACAATTCCAAAGACTGTGCATTAAGAATAGGATCTTTTGATGGGATTTGCGTATACCAAAGTTATAGACCAATTCAATTCATTTATAGGGTGTATGTATAGGCACAACTGAGGAAAGTAGCCTTCCTCAACCTGATGCCCTCCAGATGGCTTTGACTGCAACATCTAGTAGTACTGAACCACTGCGCATGGTGGCCGAGACTGAGGGAAAATGAAGTCCAAAACATCTGGAAGTTACCAGATCAGGGAGGGCTGGTCTGGAATGATACCAGCCACTTGCAAAAGCAATTGGTATCATAAACATAAACAAACGAGATGTTGACAGGAAAGAAATCGCATGTACTTGATGCCAAACTACTTTGTTCTCTAACAAATGAAAACTGAAGGTTTAGCACTAGATTAGTTCCATTGTCTAGAAGTGTTTTGAGGATATTTTAAAACACAAATATTTTCTATATCCAAGGTCATATTCAATTCTGGATTGCTGATGAAAGCAGTAAAGCAACCATTATTGGGGCTGCCTCCCAGCAAACCCAAATCAGGTAGGGGCATGTGTGCACATGTGAATGCATATGCCAGATCTCCTGATATGTTAGCTGTTGGGGCCAAAACAGTTGTGCACACCACTGTATACCTATGGCTAATGAAGGCAGGGTTACCCAATTCAAAGTAGATGCTCAACTCTGAACATATATAGCTGGACAGATGTTCATCTTAGATAAGAGCTTCTGCTAGTTAGTAATGACTATCACTTAGTGGAAAAAGGTTGTCTGAAGCAGATTAGGTTTCTGTGATAAGGGATAAAAGCTATGGGTAGCCCCAGACTCAACACTACTTCATGGGAAACAGGTTGGAATATGCTACAACTGCCCTTTTCATTCATGCCTAGTATCGAGACTCTCTCCCTTCCTAGATAGGTTGCATATTATTACATTAAGCTGTGCTTCTGTAACTTGCCTAGCGTAATAGAAACTGGTGCAGTAGCTATAGGAATATATGCACATATTTGACAGGTTAATGATTTCTACTTGCTCCGATTCCTAATTCAAAATGCTGAATTTATAACTTTACACAGCCTGGGAATATACTATCTAGAGGACTGTTTTATCCCCATGAGTCAATTCACTGAAGTCTAGCCTTTACACACTGTAGGCCTCATAAGCATTCCCTTCAATATGGTAAGGTAAATTGGCAAAAGCTGAGCACCACACGTTTTTGGCCACAGTTCTGTGGGGCATTCCTGCTGGACAGATATGCAGGAAACTACAAATGGAGAAATCTGCTTTATAGCAATGCAACCCGTTGGTGCATCTAGTTCAGTACTGTCTGTGTTGATGCACAGCAGTTCTACAGGGTTTCAGAGAAGTTTCTCAGGCCCTATCTGGAGACACCGGGGACTGAACCTGAGACTTTTGTAGGCTCTTAATAGATTTTTAAAGGAACTATCCTTGTTTTTGTGGTGACTTTTTGTTCTGTGTGCATATGTGTATAATGTATTCCATTAGGCTTATTGTGAACTACTAAGAGGAAGATAAAAATCTACTGTTATCTACAGTTGCTATTTATCTGTAGACACACAGAATAAATGAATAAATTGTTGGACATTCCACCTACTTCAGAATACATCTTGCTTGCAAATACTATCTTCAACCTGAAGAATCTGCATGTTCTTGGAAACTGAAATGTTTACCTATAGATGAATGCTGCAGTTTTTCATGTCTGATTTGCATCTGTTCTTTTTCTTATGATTGTTCTGTTCAGCTTATGTAAACAGGCTAAGAAGAGTCTACAGGCAATAGTACACAATGCTGGATAACAGGCAGGTGATTTGGCCAGAAATGGCTGGCTGTGTAAGAACTTGCTCAAATGGAAGAGAGTTGAATTTCTACGAGAATTTAGCCTTGGAACAGTCTTAATGCCAATTTGACCAAGTACGGTGCCTCCCTTGCTTTTCCTGATTGCAAACTGTATCTCCTCCAACTTTCCCAGCTATTTCATATAACTAGAAAAATCAACTGATCATTTTCAGTCTGTACAGATATCATGCCTCTAAAGCAAGAGATTAAGTGAACAGCCAGGCCTCAAATTACTTCACACTTGTTGTGATCAATATAGAAATACAAAAAGTTACAAGTAGTTCAAAGTGTAAAAGTTTGAATTAACGTATTGCAATAAGATATAAAAAGATTCTACAGTTGTTATTTTAAATATTATCAGTAAACCAACTGTGCACAAACTTCCATCTGTGTCTTCTTTGGATTCTCAATGTTTCACCCTACCTAAATGTTAAAGCATTTCCTAGAGAAAGCACACACTAAATGGTATTTTATAAGGAAAACAGAGGATCAATATATATTTGAAATGTTTATTACAGAGTGCTATGTAAAGGGAAAGTAGGGAAATACAGATGTTGTACAATTGAAAATGTATTGGTCTTTTAAAACAGTATAAGTTAAACCCAAAACATCTAATCGCATGTCAGGAATAGATATGCCAACCCTTCACTCCGTAATCTGTTAGAAGCATGCGCTGAAGTATTTTGCAAACTTCTGGTCCATGTGTCCTCGTGACTTCAGAATACTCAACATGGGTAACGATCTGGCACTCGTTTCCTAAAAAAAAGGTCAGAATTTAGTAAAACAGAAGTCAGCATGGGGGAAGAAGGTATTTTCTGGTCAAGATTTTCAAGTTAATTTAAGTCTACAATTGAAGACCTAATCTAAAAGTTACATCATTACATTTTTAATCTTCTCTGAACAGACTAAGCTGGTAACATACAAAAAATAATCAAAGAACAACTTCGTATATATTGGAACTATTTGATTAAAATCAAATTGTTGGTCTGCTGAAGTATATCACATTCTTTCTCAAAAGAAATGGGAAAGCTTTGTTTTACCTTGGAGCAGCTTTAATAATGTCATCAACTCGGAGAATCACTTCTGCAGCTTCAGCAGCACTCAGCAAAACTTGCCGTTTCACTTGAAAGCTTTCAACTACTCCCAGACTTGCCATGTCTGCAATGGCACCCTCCTTCATGTCTTCAGGATATAATAAAGAAATGTTCTAGGTTAACAATGTAATGGCAGGCCTCATTTCCAAAATTATTTTACATTGACTAGGTCTTCTAAAATGAGAATTATGAATCCCCAGACTCTAGAAATGATTTTAACAAAAGCAATACAAGCACTGTATGCCCATTCTCTATTTCATTTACTCTTTAGCTCTTGCTATCCAATTAACCCATCTATGACTTTTGTATTTAGCAAAATTCACAGTGACTTACTCTATTTGGTTTAATTTTGACTACTCTTGCTAAACAGCACAGCAGGCACTACAGGCAATTTTAGCATTACAGCTAGTCTTTATTAAGCCGGGCACGGGCAGTCTTCAAGCTTGCACAATCTACTTTATTATCCTAAATGCAACCAAATGGATCAAGGTGCAAAATAGAGGGGAAAGCATAGAAAATGATTCAAAAACAGGAGAGCCTCTGGGTACATGCTGAATCCTGGAATCCAATTTTATCCATCCTTGCATCAAGCCATAGCACTACAAAGATCTTTAAACGACAAAATAAAGCAAATGAATTATATGTAAAAATTCTCACCCAGTCCGTAAGTCGATTTCCCTTCACTGTGAGCAGCTCGAAGCTGGGACACCAAATCTGCACTGTCATAGCCAGCATTGTCAGCTATGACAGTTGGGAGCTAATAAAATAAACAGGTTTTAGCAATGAATAGAAAAAATAATTAAGAAACAGATTCAACCTCCTTCCCAATATTGCAGGACTTCTAGAACTTCTATCTTGATTCTATTAACTTCAAATATAACTAGCTGAATACAAGCTTACCGTGCTCAAGGCTTTAGCAAAAGACTCCATTGCTAATGATTCTTTGCCTGGTGTTCTTTTTGCAAGCTCCCACACAGCATTAGCCATCAGCATCTCTGAACAGCCTGAAAATTAGAAAAAATCCAGAATCTTTATAGTCAGCTTAAGATAATCTCAGCATTGCTAAAAAGAGGTAAATAGGAAGGTTCTATACTCACCTCCACCATACACAGTTCTAGTATCTTTCACAGTCTGTGCAAGAACACACAGTGCATCATGCAGAGATCTTTCTGCCTCATCTATGATCTGCTGTGTTGCACCACGCAGAACTATGGTACAAGCTTCACCTAAAGAGTTATAAAATGGTAAAAAAAAAAAAAGAGAGAGAGAGTTAAAATCTTTCAAATAAGATGAACTGGAGTTTAGAAATCTCCCACTAACCAGAAAGTTAAGGTCAAATCTTACCTTTGCAGGTTGGTCCTCACCCTGCCACTCATTTTTATTCTGCACCAATAATGCCTGACGCCCTGCATTACAGGTCTCAAAATACACCAAGCCCACACACTGTTCAGTGCAGACCAGGTGGAAGAACATGACCAGCAGTTGCATAGTCTATGTCGACTTGTCCTAGACAGGCTTCTCTGTGCTTGCATGCACCGTGACAACTAGTTCTGCAACAGGTGAAGGTATTCGTATTGAGGAACTGGTGCCGTAAGAGATTCTGCATTTACTATTGCTGTTAAGTCAAGGCATTGGAGTCATGTTGCAGTAACTTGTTGGCCATTATGTTACTTATGCCCTTTCACAATGTCCTCCCTCCTGAATAACATCAAAATAAAGCTCTGACATGGCCAAATGTATTAATCCTGTGTTACGAGGTAGGCATCCTCATCTACCACCTTTTTCATACTCTTTATCTGGTTCAAGATGCGATTCTGCCTGGCAAGGATGGGCTCAGAGTCACTAGCCCCCACAACCTTCTGTTCAATCAATTTCTTTGGACTGTAAGGAAGGGGCAAGACACTTCAGGATGCATGAGCTGAATCGGTACTGTTAGGCCGCTATGAGGCCGTCAGTTGGAATGGGTGGAAGAGAGAAAAGTAGG